CTTGGCAGCTCTAGATGGAGATGAAACAATGCTAGTGGTGGATCAAACCTTTGCACTGATTGTACAACACTGGTCGTTGTTCTCTGGAGACACGCAACTCAAAGCCCACAAAGCTGTCGCAAGCATCATAAGCCAGTACAACCCCCAGCTTCGAGCTAGAGTCGAATACCTTCCCTCACTGGCTGGCATACCAATGTTCTCCAAGATTGAAGGCGAGTTGGCAAAGTTTAGAGATATGATTGAGACCATCAAGGTCTTCCAAGCCTTTAGCAATAGATGCAAAGACCAGACATCAGTCGTGGTGCGTCGAGCTTTGATAGAGCTTGTGCCATTTCTGGATGCCAATCAGCAGGAACTGCATCAGTCGATAGTTGGGCAGAAACCTCTTCCGGTTCTTGCCGCATTGACGCGATCACTCCTCGATGCCAGCGTTCGTTTCTCGGAAGACCACTCCGATATCACGATTCTTTGTGCTCAGTGCCTTGGCATCATCGGTGGTCTTGATCCATACCGAGTAGAAACAGTTCGTGAAAAGAAGCGCGTTTTGATGCTTTCCAACTTTGCACGGAGAGACGAGGATATCGACTTCGTGGCATTGCTCCTCGAGCAAGTCCTGGTCAAGGTCTTCCTTTCCACCACAAACGCTAAACAACAAGGCTGGATCGCCTATGTTATGCAGGAGATGCTCAAGCATTGTGGATTTAGTGCACTCCGCGGAGCAAAGCCCCGATCTTCGCAGGCTAGCACAGAGGCCCAGCGCTGGAATGAGATCCCAGAGGCTGTCAGGACTGTATTAACTCCTTTTCTTGATTCGAAATACTCCGTCAATGTTAACACCTCGATACAATACGAGGGTGCGGTATACCCAATATTCAACTCCAAGATCAGTCATGGCACCTGGCTCCAGACCTTTGTGTACGACCTGCTGCGAAAGGGGCAGGGTGTCAACGTCGAGATGGTATTCCCTGTTCTAGCCAGAATCATTAAAGGATATGATCTCTCGATAGCCACCTTCATACTTCCGTTTGCAGCTCTGAACGTCATCGTATCAGACAATGATGAGAACATGGAGAACGTAGGACGAGAGCTTTTGGAGGTGCTGCAGGCCGATATACGTACGTCGGAGCAACACGAAGCTTCGATCATCAAGCAGTGTAGCGAGGTATGATCTTACAACCACTCCATCGAATGCATTTGCTAACACCTCGCAGAATGTCTTTCAGACATTAGATTACCTATCTTCGTGGTTACAAGAGAAGAGGAAATCTGTTACTGACGCGAGAACGATGGCAGGAAAGACGGGACGCGGTGTCTCAGAGGACGACGAGATGAACGCCATCAAGCAGCTCAGTCGCGTAGAGGGAATTCTCCAGCTCATTCCCGCGGAAATCATATCTCGAAGAGCTGTAGAATGTGGGTCGTACGCTCGTGCTCTGTTCCACTGGGAACAATACGTACGCCAGCAGCGGGACATGAAGGCGGAATCAAAGCAGGCATTCCCCGAGAAGGACGAGCTGTTACAACATCTGCAGATGATTTATGCTCATATCGACGAACCGGATTGTATCGAAGGGATATCAGCACATCTCAAAATCCTGAATCCTGAGCAGCAGATCATCGAGGACCGCAAAGCTGGGCGGTGGACGGCGGCGCAAAGTTGGTACGAGATTGCACTTGCTGAGAGACCGAACGATGTCGAGACCCAGATCAATCTCCTCACTTGTTTGAAGGAATCTGGTCAATACGGTGAGTCAGTACGTGCATATCTCACGAAGACAAGCTGACGCAAATTTTAGATTCCATTCTCAACTACGTAGACGGCTTCCATGCGACTGACTCGCTTTCGAGCAGCACGTTACCTTTTGCAGCAGAAGCGGCTTGGTCTACTGGCAAATGGGAACAACTGGAACGCCTTCTTACTGCTACCGGTAGCGCTGATTCCAGCCTTTTCGCGGACTTCAATGTTGGAATAGGCCGAGCGCTATTGGCACTGCGTCACAACAACCGCCCGGACTTCCAGGGCATCATTGCAGAGCTACGAGAAATTCTGGCGAAGAGCATGTCTCCATCAACCACGACGTCTGTGCAGGCATCGCATGATCATCTAGTCAAACTGCATGCGCTGTACGAGGTTGAGACTGTAAGCGGTATGGGTACCGGGACTGTAATAGACCGGGAAACCATTCTCGAAAACTTGGACAGACGCTTAGACATTATTGGGGCGTACACATCGGACAAGCAGTACCTTCTGGGACTACGTCGCGCCGCAATGACGCTATCTCGGTAAGTATATGTCGAATGGCATTCTTTACGGACACTAACAGAGGATAGCATTGAATTCGCAAATCTTGACGTTGCTTCCGCGTGGCTCACGACCGGAAGGCTGGCTCGCAAGGGAGGCTTCATGACAACAGCTTTCAACTCTGTACTGCACGCTGAGCGACTTGGAGACAACGCGTCGAAGATTGAGTACTCAAAGCTGCTCTGGAAAGAAGGCCACCATCGCAAGGCGATACAAAACCTTCGTGGCGCAATCGACAGTAACGCATTCCAGCAGGAAGACACAGTGCCAATCAACGTCTCCGTGACCACAGCCGGTCGAGGCGAAGAGCATTCAATGAACAAGGTTAAGTGCCATGCTCAACTATTGCTCGCTAAATGGCTAGACCGCGCAGGTCAGACACAGTCAATGTCGCTGAAGGAAGAGTATGTGACCGGTGTGCAAACCTATCCCCGCTGGGATAAAGGCCACTACTACCTGGGTCGATGGTATCTGAAGCTACTTGAGTCAGAGAAGCAGCAGCCGATAACAAAACAAAGTTCCGAATACCTTGCTGGTAGTCTCATCAAGTTGGTCATCGAGAACTTTGTCCGCTCTACGGTATACGGGACGAAGTACTACTACCAGACCCTGCCTAAGATACTTACGCTGTGGTTGGACATGGGTATGGAAGTTATGAGCAGCACACCCAAGACCGCCAAAGACAAGGAGTTCCACGAGCATCGGCTCAACTATCTCGACCACATCAACAAATACCTCAAGCGCTACGCCGGAGAGCGGATGCCTGCTTTCGCTTGGTACACCGCTTTCCCGCAGATCATCACACGCATCAGCCATCCGAATAAGAGCGTTTGGGATGCTCTCCAGACGATCATCATACGAGTCGCGTCGACATATCCGCAGCAGGCGCTATGGGCTTTGCTCGCTGTTCTTCACTCTACACAGGATGACCGCAGGGCCCGGGGCGCTACTGTACTACAACGACTACGCGTAAGTTCTCGATCTGGTCAAGGTCAGAAATCCGCTAACAAGAAGAAGGACGCATCGAAGCGCAAAGGGGCTTCTATCGACCTCAAGGCCCTGATCATTCAAGGGCAGCGTCTTACTGACGCACTACTAGCGGCTTGCGATGCCCCCATAGAATCACGGATAGCACACGTGAGTCTAGCAAGGAACCTTGGATTCAACCACAAGCTCGCACCTACGCCGCTGGTTGTTCCTATCGAAGCCAACCTACTTCCGAATCTGCCTGCTGGCAACGACAGCCAGATTATTCGTCGTCACAACCCGTTCCCAGCCGACGCCATCACCATACAGTCATTCGACGACGACGTACTAGTCCTTTCCTCTCTCCAACGCCCCCGAAAGCTAAACGTCCGCGGCTCAGACGGCCGCTCCTACGGCCTCCTCTGCAAGCCCAAAGACGACCTGCGCAAAGACCAACGCCTCATGGAATTCAACGCCATGATCAACCGGGCCCTACAAAAAGACATCGAATCCAGCAAACGCCGCCTCTATATAAAAACCTACGCCGTCACGCCCCTCAACGAAGAATGCGGCGCAATCGAATGGGTGGAAGGCCTCAAGCCCATGCGCGACATCATCCTCCGTTTCTACCGCCAAATGGCCATTCCCATCGACTACGGCGAGATCCGCCTCCTCCTCAATGAAGCCTCGTCTTCCCCGTCCAAGGTACCCATCTTCACTGAACGCATCCTCGGTAAATTCGTGCCTGTGTTACATGAGTGGTTCGTTGAGACGTTTCCCGAGCCGGAAGCTTGGTTCGCGGCGCGTCTGCGGTACACAAGGTCTTGCGCTGTGATGAGTATAGTTGGCCATGTCCTCGGTTTGGGAGATCGACACGGCGAGAACGTGCTTTTGGAGCAAGGCGATGGCGGTACTTTTCACGTCGATTTTAACTGCCTCTTCGACAAGGGTCTCACGTTCGAAAAACCCGAACTCGTTCCCTTCCGCCTCACGCACAACATGGTCGATGCCATGGGTCCGCAAGGCGTCGAGGGCCCCTTCCGCAAGGCCGCTGAGCTGACGTATAAACTGCTTCGCCAGCATGAAGACACGCTGATCACTATCCTAGAAACGTTTGTGCACGATCCCACAGCCGACTTTCTCGGCGGCAAGCGCAGGAAAAAGATTGTAGGCGTTCCGGATACGCCGCAGGAGGTGCTAGATATTACAAGGACGAAAGTGAATGGGTATCTCAAGGGGGAGAGTGTGCCGCTGAGTGTGGAGGGCTATGTTGATGCGCTCATTGCTATGGCGATGGATCCACTCAATTTGGCGAGTATGTATATTGGGTGGTGTGCTTTCTTCTAATGTTGTGTTTCGTTTCAAAAGTTGGGGAATGCGAGGAGGTGTGTATGTCAGTATCGTTACTTCGTTCTATACTAGATGAGGTGTTAGCAAATCGGTATTCTCTTTTACATCGCATACCTTTTCACCACGCACAAAGCCATGAACAGCCCATCTCCACACCTCGCAGACATAACTCCGTGCATATACAATTGGCATTACAATACGTAATTGTAAAATAAAGGTAGGTACTCCCATTCTCTTTGGAACCCGGATTAAAAAAAGCCAACGCCTGTAACAAAAACTCGTTAAGAAAAGAGGTTGATGCTACCCAAAAGGGACTCGCTCGAGCGGATATTCAGTCGTGTAAGCATCGTCTTCGTGCGATCGTCTCTTCCGTACCCTCGGACCCAAGCTTGCTCTTGCTTCCATCAGATCAAAGCCGTAGCATGTCTGTCCCTCGCATCCATAGCCTAACCACTGCCCCGCATATGCCTGACAATCTCAGTCCAAAATATCCATCTCCTCTTACTTCCTCCCTTCCACAACTACTCCTTCTTTCTAGCAGCACTTTCCGCCCATACCTGCATTTCCGTCACCTTGCCCACTAACATCGACCTTGGGGGCAGCTGTCTGATCCGTCCTAGCGGTATCGATAAGACGCTTCTTGATATCGCCGGCGAGGCTGTAAAACGCCTGATCGACGTTGATGTTGCTCTTGGCCGAGACCTCGAGGAAGGGGATGCCGAGTTCGTCGGCGAGGGCCTGGCCCTGTTCTGTGGAGACGGCGCGCTTCTCTTCCCAGTCGCACTTGTTGCCGATGAGGATCTTGTTGACGCCTTCGGTGGCGTGTTGCTCGACGTTGGAGAACCATGTGCGGATGTCTGGTTGTGGTGTTAGTGTTTTGTTTATTGAGGGATTCATGCCTGTAGGGCTGGGATGGTAAAAGGTGTCTGTGGACGGCGGGAACGTACTGTTGAAGCTCCTTTCATCCGTAACGTCGTAGACTAGCAGGATACCCATGGCACCTCTGTAGTACGCCGTGGTGATGGTCCGGAAGCGCTCTTGGCCGGCGGTATCCCATATCTGCAGCTTCACGCGCTTGCCGTCGAGCTCGATGGTACGGATCTTAAAGTCGATGCCGATGGTGGTGATGAACGAGGGCGTGAACGAGTCTTCACTGAAGCGCAGCAGACAGCACGATTTGCCTACGCCGGAGTCGCCTATGAGGAGTAGTTTGATCTACGCGGGGGAGAGTGTTAGTGTGGGTCTGTGTATATAGGCGGTGGAGGGGCGTTCAGGGTCCAGCATGTTTGCGGAAGCTGGGCATGCGCAGGGCTAGAAAGACAGCTAGGGTGAGCTTACGAGAAAGTCATAATTCCTGGAGCCAGCCATCTTGATATAGAGTCGTGGTATGCGTTATCGAGCGGAGGTGGTTGCGGAGTTGGCGCCCGCCGGTTTGGGGTGTGCGGTGGAGCTGGCGGTGGTTGAGCGGTTGCGGAAGAATGCGGGTGATAGACTCGTTGTGATGATAGAGAGTATACGTGGGAACAGGCGGTATTGGGGTGAACGGGGCTGTGTGGTTAACAGCAGGCAGCGAAGTAAACGGCGTGGTAGCGAGTTCACAGGTGCTGGCCAACGTTGGACGTTAGCGCCAATAGTCCGCACGGGCTTCACCACCTCCGTCACTGCTGTCGTCCGCGAGTGACGAGAGGCGGCTGGCCTGGTGGCAACTGCGCCTCTGCCTTGACTCGGCTGTCACTACCGGCATCACGAACCAGGACACGAGACACGGTCATGCGCTGGCGTTGACATTCAGAAGAGCCTCATTTCTAGGTTTGGTTTTGCGCCTCGGTACGTACGTACCCACGCGATACTTGTTGAGCTAGTCTTGGATAGTAGACATCTGATCTGTCATGTTCCGCATACATCTACTGAGAACACGGTTCTAAGACTACAAGCTTCTTCGTATAATTGTATTGATGTGGGTATGCACGCTGATCATACAGGCGCTGCGACTGGATCATCCCGGTTGCAAAGACGCCTCTTCAAGTAAACCATTTTGAGTACGCCCACCTAATGCGCTCAACTACTTTTTGCTGTCGCTGCAACCCACTCCTCACATCAACAAGCTCGTCTATTTCCACCAAAAAGTCGTGGAAGATGCGTCGTGGCAGGATGCCGCTCGCAGCCTGTCGCAGGAGATGCACTTCGCAGAGAAGGAGACCGTGATCCTTGTAGGAAATTTCGCCGTCCTCTGTGGGTGTTGCGCTGGTAAGGATGCGGTCGATGTTGCGCAGGATGAGCAGCATGCGACCTTGCCTCGCCCACATCTGTACGCCTTTACGGCTGCTGAAGACGCCTCGGAGGTATCGGTAGACGCCGATACTCACGAGAACACCAGGCGTCAGACCGATGAAGCCAAAGAGTAACTCCTGGCTCTTGAGAATGCTGTCAATACCGCTCATTGCGACTTCCACATCAACCTTGGTCTTCTGCACCTGGATGAGCAGTGCGCTAGCTAGGTTACCGACTATCGCGCCCTTGACCGGGCTCTGAATGTCCTTTTCGTATGATCTCAAGACCGTGGTCAGATCGCCTTCGCGGACTTTCGCTCTGATATCGGCAATCTGAGTCTCGTTCAGCGCGGGGCCTTCAGGGTTTTTGACCGCAAAGTCAATGACCATGCGCTCAAGGCTTGCGCGGTCAGACTCCAGGCTGCGTTTGCTCATAATGGAAACCTCGCTATCTTCGTTGTGGCGGATGGTACCGATGATCCTCATTGCGGGCTCCACGACCCAATTTGTCCAAAAGTCGATTACCGTCTGTCCTAGTTCGCGTACCCAGGCCAGAATCTCTTCTTTCCGGTTGACAAATATACGCAGGATAGTGGTCGAGGATACGAGGAGCATGGTGGCAGGTAGCCAGTACCGAATGAGGAAGGATGGACGTCCGTTTTCCTTGACCACAGCGTTGAAGTCTGAGGTGTAGGCAGGCAATGCTTCCTGGAGCAGGTACTGCAGTCGCTCTGCGACATCGGCGGGCTTGAGCGTGGTTGCCGTTCGTTCTCCGGTGGGTTCGTGCAGCGAGTAGAGTTGATCATCTTGAGTGATGCCAGCAACAGAATCGTCAAACTTATTAACGGATATCTCTGCACTGTTTACGCTTTGGATCACGGCGTCCATCAGGGCAATGTTCTTAGCCATGACGCTCTTCCATCTATGTCCGCTTTGTGCGCCGAGCAGTGGGGGAGATTGGGTGCCATCGTCGTGTACACTGGGATGGTTAGCGGTCGCTCACTTTCCTCGCGAATGATCAATAGCATACCTCTCATTACCCAGCCCTTCGCCTAGAAGCACACCGAGCGCGTTCGCATTGATGAGCCGTATCTTCCTCAACGCTGCGCGCTTCCTCCTGCCTTCGTTTCTCACGAGCGCCAACGGGCTCACGACCCTTCGCTGGATGTTGGCAATGCTGCGCTCTTGCACCGCATCCTTGACGAGGCCATAAAACTGACTCCACCCATCGGCCAATTGGCCGCCCCTCGACCGCACATCGCGATATATCTCCTGCGACCATTTCCACACCCGAACCGGCGATGTTTGTATCGAATATAACCCAGCGAACCGGTAGGTGGAGAGAATGTCGTCCCAGTACCACAGGTCGTCTTCCAACGGGATCGTCTGTTCCAATATCGTATTCAGAACCTGCCCGTACACCTGCGTCGTCGCCTTGCTGACTAGCAGCCATTCCAATTCATGTTCGTAGCTCGCATCCTCGAAGCTGCTGGCGATGTTGGCACGCTGCAGCGTCTCGGATATACGTGCAATGGACACAAGGCTGTGTTTGGATGACGCGGTCGTGGAGAGGGACTTGATGAGGTACTGCAGGTGCGCGATTCGTGATGTCTTGGTGGGGTCGTGGGCTTCCTCGGCGGTGATGGAGAAGCTGCCTTGTCGTGTCGCCGACAGCTGCAGCCGGTCGAGCTGGCTGTCAATTCGACGCACTTGGCTGACGCAGTATTAGCTATACCGGGCTGTATCAATGGAATACTCCAACTTACTCAACCACGAAAGACATGGCTACCGGCGCGTGAAGGCTCGCATGGAGGATGCGGCGGGATTATTTTGGTACGAGGGGATCTGGAGATCTGAACCGGGATGACGCGCGCCCACCCGCCGCCAATGACGTTCTAGGCCTGCCATCAATCCATCACCGCCAGTTGCGTGCACTTTCCATGGCCTGTCACATGTTTCCTTCTCTTCAACACAGAGACGAGCCAGTCACACAATGGGATGTTTGTCCGTGACGTGCTCCGTCGTCTGTCACTCGCTATACCTGGGTAATTGTACTCACCCGACAACACGAATATCCAAACGCCTTCTAAGGAATTGAGCTAATGCAGATGGAGTGCAAGACTAGATTGGTATTTGATTGTATTTCACACGCCGTTCCCTTGTCCGATGCCTAACATGCTTTCCGACGATGATGGCTTGTAACGACAAGCAAACTCTGCACAACAGTGAATCTGCCATCGCTCGCAGATTTCTCTATAACGTCGCAGCAATTCTTCTATAATAACAAACAAATATAGCCAGACTATTGAGCGGCTGCGACCAGACCTGGCTGCTGGACGCTTCCGACCGACCGTGCCACCACGCCCTCGCAGCAACCCAGCCCTGAACAGGAAACTCGTCTCCGACCCAAGAACCGGTCTAGCGGTCTCCCCTAAAAGCAAACAAAGGCACAAAAAACGGCGTCCATCCAATTTCCACAGCCTGTCGGGTTCGAAACAGTGGTAGAGGGCTAGCTAGCGACGCGAGCGCTCATTCGGACCGAGGGCTGATCTGCGACATCGTCCAAATCCGATTCCATGGAACGCAATTGCAAAGCGCTTGCCTCGTCGTCGGAGATGCGAGCGCTCATTGGCTCGAGGACGGGACTTGCTGAACGGGAGAGATCAACTTGCGGCACAGTCAATCTGATACCGTTTGGCTGGTCAGGGGCTAGCAGGGTCCCCTCGTCGACAAGCGAGTCGCGCTTTCTGGGGAGCTTCTGGCGCATGCCTAGTTCGGAGCCTACGCGCTCGATGCTCTTGAAGTACTGAGAGTGTTAGTTGAGAACGAAAGAGAAGGATGTCGACGAATGTACCTTGACGGTCTTGACTTGCAGTTCTAGGGTGGCATCTTCGTCGACTACGATCATCGGGTGCGGGTGCATCTGGAGACTGGACAGCGTCCACATGTGGTTCACGCCGCCTTCGATGCACCGCTGAAGAGCTAGGGCCTTGTGTGCGCCTGTGATGATGATGACGACTTCGCGCGCCTGGGGGGCTGTTAGACTCTGCTGAAGTACAGGGTGGTGTGACTTACGTCAAGAACAGTCTGAACTCCCACTGTGAGCGCCATCTTCGGCACCTGATCGAGATTGTTTCCGAAGAACCTTGAGTTGGCCAGAATGGTATCGTATGCAAGAGTCTTCACGCGCGTCCGAGACTTGAGGCTGGAACCTGGCTCGTTGAAAGCAATGTGTCCATCTGGCCCAATGCCGCCGAGGAACAGCTCGATACCACCTGCACGTTGGATCTTCTCTTCGTAGTCATGGCATTCGACTTCCAGGTCAGGTGCGTTACCGTTGAGGATGTTGATGTTTTCGGGTTTCACATCGACATGGGAGAAGAAATGCTTATACATAAAGCTGTGGTAGCTCTCGGGGTGATCTCGCGGGATGCCGACATACTCGTCCTAATTGGGTCAGTATCACTCAATATCACGCTGCTGTGAGACATTGGACGCAAGGGTGTGGCGCCATATGCAGGGCGGTAGTGTGTACCATATTAAATGTGACCACATTGCGGAAGGAGACTTGACCCGCTTTGTGGCGCTGTACGAGATGCTCGTAGATCAAGACGGGGCTGCTCCCTGTGGGCAAACCTAAGACAAAGGGCCTCTCTGGCGTAGGGTTGAAGGTGTTGATGCGTTCTATGCTGCGGCGTTAGTCGATATCAAGACACAACAAAGGAGCGAGGAATGCACCAATGACATAGTCGGCGATGTATTGGGACGCAGCCCTCGGATCGTCTCGAATGATTAGCCGCCTAGAAGCGGTAAGCCGGGTGTCAGAAAACGAAGGTGTGCATGCTCATACATGATGTATCTATCGCTTGTGCCACTTGCAAGGAACGTGTGCGGAGTGAGGGGTCAAAGGTCATTCCTGTAGCGGGATGAGGGCGATTTCTATGAGGACTTCAACAGCTTCACGTCATTCTGGGGCAAGGTAGGATCGTGAGCTCGATCATCATCCAACGTCTCTCCATCGAAATGACAACGGCCAAACTTTCCGCATCTGAACACGTTCTCTGCAGAGCTCTCTGTATCGGTCCGCGTGGTCGTGGTGCGTCATGCAATGGACGGTTGAAGGTGAACGTAGTGGTACAACGCGCCTATCTGCACCACCTTGGGCCGTGGACCCCAGTTGGCAGCCATGTGCAATGTTACAGGAGCATGGCGCTGGCGTGGTCATCACCGTCTCGTGTGATAGCAGTGGGAACCGAGCCGGGCGTGGGCCGCAAACTAGCCGTCACGGGCAGCCAGCAACGAACATCACGATAGCAGGCGGCGCTGATAAGGCCGGCGTGCTGATGGAGTCGCAAAAGGACAATGTTACATTTCTGACTCGGGTGGTGGCGGGCGGAGAGCGTTGCACTTGTGGCTCTAGTCGGCGTCTTCTAGCTCGCGCAGCCCACTCAGCCCAGGGCCGGGGGCTCAACCAACAATGTGGTCGCAGACGCATGCAGATCCATGCATCGTCGATAAGCAGGCCTGCAACGCCCCGCTTTGGCCCTCGATGGCTGTCCCGAGAACCACTGACGACCGCCGTCCGGGCACCTGTAGCCGGCGCTCAAGGCTGCTGACTGCGTCGTACATACGGCTGGCGGTGCGGAATGCGGATGCTTGTTGGCGTTTGCCCAGTGTCAGCCTGCGCCAGCGAATCCTGCACCGACGGCTGTCACCTGTGGGCTTGCAGTCGTTTATCTCCCTGATTGAGGCCAGGCTGTGTCGCGTGCTGTTGCCCGCCTCGCTACCCCGATGCAGGTTGGCTGGGGAGATTTGGTCGTGAAAGGACCGTGTGAGGACCCTAGCTGACGGTCTGCTTAAAACCAACTGCCCCTCGCCTTCACCTTCGTATCCAAACCCTCGTTTAATTATAGCTTGCTGCTACCGACGTGTGGTCTGAGCGCGAGCATCTAGTATCTTTATTGTAGCCCTGTCTGCTCTCACCTTCTACATCAACGACGACGTGCACATCTCCGTCTGTCGCAAGGCTCAATTCCGAATCGCGCGCTAATCGCCGGCACATCACCCACACTCGCGGGCTTCAACATGACAACGGGCGCCGACATGCCGTCTATCGGGGAGAAGCAGCCTCCGCACGCGGTCAACCCTCCAGAATACTCATTGAGTGACACGAATTCAAATGAGCTGCCTGCTTCGTGGAAATACAGACGCTTCACTGTTCTCGGTTTCAAGCTGCCATGGTTCGCGTCACCACCCGTCCAGCTGGTAATTGTCTCCTTCGTCTGCTTCATGTGCCCGGGCATGTTCAATGCTCTGAACGGCATGGGTGGTGGCGGCCAACTTGACCCGACTGCCAACAACCGGGCCAACACAGCTTTGTACTCGACCTTTGCTGTTGTCGGCTTCTTTGCCGGCACCTTTACCAACAAGCTTGGCATTCGCACTGCTCTGTCTTTTGGAGGCGTCGGATACTCCATCTACGTTGCCTCTTACCTATGCTACAACCACACCCAGAACCTGGGCTTTACTACTTTTGCCGGTGCACTTCTCGGTGTATGCGCGGGTCTGCTATGGTGCGCCCAGGGCGCCATCATGATGTCGTACCCTCCAGAGGATTCCAAGGGTCGCTACATTTCGTGGTTCTGGATGATCTTCAACCTTGGCGCTGTTATCGGCAGTTTGGTATGTTTACTTTGCTTTGAGACCCTGAGAAGTCTAGTCGTGAACCTGACGCTAACACTACCAGATTCCGTTGGGTCAGAACATCAACACCAAGACTGCCGGCACAGTCAACGACGGTACCTACGTCGGCTTCCTTGTCCTCACGATCCTCGGTGCTGCTCTCTCATGGACCCTCGTCGACGCGAAGGATGTCATCCGCGATGATGGATCCAAGGTCATTGTCATGAAGCACCCCTCGTGGAAGTCGGAATTCGTTGGTCTATACCAAACCTTCTTCACCGACCCGTACATCATCCTTCTTTTCCCCATGTTCCTGGCATCCAACTGGTTCTACACCTACCACTTCACCGAGATCAACGCTGCATACTTCAACGTCCGCACCCGAGCTCTCAACGGCGTCGTCTACTACATTATGCAGATCGTGGGTGCCTACGTCTTTGGCTATGCGCTCGACATCAAGGGTGTCCGCCGTACCACTCGTGCTAAGGCTGCGTGGGGTGTGCTTTTCGCGACCATCATGATCATCTGGGGCTTCGGATACATGTTCCAGAAGACCTACGACCGCGCCTGGGCCGAGGACGAGACAAACGAGAAGAAAGACTGGTCTGACGCAGGTTACGCCGGCCCCTTCGTCCTCTACATGTTCTACGGATTCTCCGATGCCGCTTGGCAAACCTCTGTCTACTGGTAAGCTTCATCTCATTCTCGACATGTCCAAATCGCAATGCTAACAAACACCAGGTTCATGGGTGCTCTGACCAACAACAGCCGCAAGCTCGCCAACTTCGCTGGTTTCTACAAGGGTATCCAGTCCGCTGGAGGTGCCATCACATGGCGTTTGGACGACACCAAGATTCCCTACATGACCATGTTTGCTAGTAACTGGGGACTGCTCGCGGGCAGTCTGGTTGTTGCTCTACCTGTCATTCTCTGGAAGGTTGAGGATACTGTTGCCATCGAGAAGGATATTGCTTTCACCGACGAGACAGTCGCAGAAGTTGCCCCCAAGGCGGTTGTTCACTCAACGCCTGGTGACGCTGAGAAGGTCTAGTTAGGCCTCTGGAGTGTTTTCATGACCGGGACTTCATGGGTAATGACGGTGTTCTTCAGCGGTACTTGTTAGTTTATGATACCTCGGCTGGAGTTGCAGTAGCGGGAACATGGTCGATTCATTGCAGATTTAAGGAGGTTTCTATATGATACTGCAGTCCATAGGCTTCATAGTGCATCAGATGGGTTGGCTCGACATTACGGCAGTGCTACGAACAATAGTCTCCGGTGTTCCTAATGAATGAACATCTACTTTCATTATCCACATGCTCAGACTTGATTACTGGTGCAAGGGTATGCAGTGTGGATGTGGCACAGTCACCGCGTGGTACACGACAGCCGTTTCATCTCGCTGATATCCAACGAGAACCAACAAAGTACCGAGCGCCTGTTACCGAAGAATTTAGAGGACCAGTGGAATGCGCAGGACGAGGTCAGCAATCTACGCCCTAACACGACTTGACACGTACGCGCCGCAAAGAACCCAATCCTCCTCCGAGGCAATCCTTCGCCCTACACATCCCACATCGTATCAAGCGCATCACGGGACCAGCAATGCCGAAGCCTGATAGCCCCTTCCAGACTACCAAGCCTTCCGATGCATCTGTCACCGAGCCGGACCGAGGTTGCCACTGCCCAGGACGCCTGATAATAGAATGCTAGTTCGCGACCCACGCCTCTCTGAATACGATGTTCCAACGGGGCCTCACGAGTCTCGAATCCACCTCGCGGGATCGACATGCCGAGGAGAGCCACGAGGCAAGTGACGGTTACAACGGAGTCGTGCAGCAGGTGCGCTAGGTATGTGGTGTCATCTATTCCCGTGATGCTTGAGCACCATGCAGGAAGCCTATGTGCGCTGAGTAAGCACTATGCGACACTACCGTTAATGTTGAACTGTCGATAGCTATAGTTGAATATGATGCAGAGATTCAACGGCGAACCCGCTAGTCAGATCTGATTCAAGTCTTGGCATTGGACAGCGGAAGGCACGTGCTCTCCGCTCGTCATGCATCTACTCAGCTTGAAGTCGCCCCGTCTTACTGGCTGCTTCGTTTGGAACACACGTGAAGCTCTGCGATGATCGCCACCGGCGCATAAAGCCTGCAATATGGTTGAATCATACCGCGGCAAAGTCGTCCACCGAAGTCCCATCGCAAACGCTTACGGCAGGATTTGCGGTCCCAACGGGCTAGCGACGTCTAGCGACGTCGCCCACCAGATGTAACCTTACGGTAGCATGCAATGACCGTCAAGGAACTTTCCTACGAAACCCCACCAACCCTCGACATGCCAGCGACGCCATATTTCCGCGTATCCATCCAGCGTGCCTGGCGCCCGCGACACGCTGTTGACTGCCATCCACGGCCAATACATCAGGCCTTTGCGGCTTCCTTCCCTGTTTCCATTTGTCCTTTTGGCCCCGCGATCGCCCATACGTGCTTGTCTGCCGTGCCCCAGCAGAAGGCCTCGCATACCAGTCCCCGGAGCAATACCTGACTACGTTCGCTAGTGGATACAACCTCTTTGATGTTCTGACAAGCCATACAACAATGCTTAAGAGCCTTTTGCGACATCGGTTCACTAATGCTCCCGGCCCGCGTCTAGTCTCCGTTCACTACGACCTTTGCAGACTTTGAACACTCTCGCTGGACTTTGCGATTTAATTGAGCGTCTACAAACAACATTCGTTCGCAAATCATACCATCGTCACCATCTGCCGGACTCCCCGTGCCCCTCCATGCCATCTCTTCGACTCAAGCGCAAGAGCGGCCGCGTCACCCTCGTTCCAGAGTCAAACAACTCTCGTGACTTGCATCAAGCGTCAATCGAAAACAACAATCGTTGCTGGTACAAACAATTCATGCTTGATTTCTGGGAAGGGCTTCTCGCGGCTCTTGAAAGGATCACCATGCTACCGTCTCTTCTGCACTCTGTGCTCCCGTCATCAACTTCACGAAGACGTGTACGGGATGGACTCCGGACTTACGACCGCCAAATGGACGACCTACTTCACGAAATTCAACGCCTGTTGGAGGCACCGTTGGCACCTGCTAAGATGCTGGACATGTCTGCAAGGCTGCAGGCGCAATTCGCCCCAAAGTTGCAGTCGAGCGACATTTGTATGTTGCCTTCATACAACCACAAGCTCCCTTCTGGATCTGAGAAAGGAACCTATCTGGCCCTCGATGTCGGCGGCTCGACATTCCGTATTGCACTGGTGGAGCTGAATGGTAGACAACCCGACGCCAAGAATATGCGCATCGCTGTCATGAAGAGCTACAAGATCGACGAGAAGGTCAGGCAAAGAAGAGGCAACGATTTCTTCGAGTGGATGGCCGAGAAGATTCAGGATGCGCTTGCAGATCCTCTTCTCCGAAACTCAACCGATACTGAGAGCTTTCCTATGGGTCTGGCATGGTCATTTCCTGTTGAGTATGTTACCGTAACGTATGCGGTATTGCATTGACTGACTGTTATTAGGCAAACATCTAGTCGAAGTGCAAATCTATTAGACATGGGCAAAGGGTTCCGTGCGACAGAGGGTGTTCTTGGCCAAGATTTGAGCGAGTTGATAATGGCACCATGCAGAAAGAGGGTAAGACTTGGTCATCTACCCAGCATTTGCAATCACTAACGCCTCCAAGGGCCTGCCCGTGCATATGAATTCCATCATCAACGATTCGTCGGCGACCTTACTGTCACGTGCCTACGAAGACCCATCAACGCGTTTTGCCGTAATTCTAGGGACTGGGTTTAACATATCGGTACACCTACCCGTCTCATCACTCGCAGCTACCAAGTACAAGGGCTACCCGCAGCAATGGCTAGATGAAGCTACGCACGTACTCGTCAACACCGAGTGTAGCATGTTTGGCAAAGGTGTCTTCCCCACAACAAGATGGGACGACCAGCTCAACGACGCGCACATGCGGCCCGACTTCCAACCTTTCGAGCACATGATCAGTGGTCGATATATCGGAGAGATTGTTCGATTGATCCTAGTAGAAGCCGTCCAAACAGCAGGCTTGTTCAGCGGAGAAATTCCCGATCAGCTAGCTGAGCCCTACACCCTAGACACTGGCACCATTGCCGCCATGGAGATGGACGACTCCAAGTACTTGACCAGCGCCACAGCTCTCTTCCAATCCAAACATCCTCTCAGCAAGCCACCCACCTACAACGATATCCAATTCGTCCGTCAAGTCTCGCAACTAGTGTCGCATCGCGCAGCCGCTTTTCTCGCCACCGGCATCCACGCATTATGGGCACTTAGAACGGAGTCAGAGGGCTTGACTCCTGCATCCGCTGGTCGGATGAGCATCGGTTGCAACGGTTCTGTCATTGAAAAGTATCCCTTTTTCAGAGAGCTGTGCCAGTCGCACCTTCACGAGTTGACTACGGCTTCGGGAGCGGAACCAAACTCCGTCTCCTTGGAGATTGCAGTGGAGTCGGCTATCTACGGCGCAGCCGTTTCTGTCTGCTGTCTCGAGGGACAGTGAACATTCCGCGACGCAGCCTTTGCACTTTATACCCTTCGAGCAACATCATTGTACATACATTCTCCACAAGATCTTCTTTCCTTCTCTTCTTCCAATTTAGAAACACTTTACAGCCCAGCATGGAGAGCTTTACGAAAAGCATACGGGGAGCTTCATTACACGGTTCCCTTTTGGCGTTCTTGGGCATACATGGCATCGCATGCTTTCGGGCATGCGCACGACCTAATGAAACATGTTCTAATCCACATTCCCTCCTTCTTCATGCTCAGCACGTGATGCAAACTTCTCCCCAAAACAGAAAGGGTAGTATACGAACAACAACGGATCAAACAACCAAAGACAGATAGACCAAAACGCCATCCCATTCTTCTAGAACACCCAAATACGATAATCGTACGTAATGAACCTCCACCCCTATCTTCCACCAAACGCAAGCCCACTCCTACCCTACCCACAATGCACCGCGCCTCCTACCCACCTACATACCCACCTTCCAATACGCGTCTGCACACCCTGTCAAGCAAAACGGGGCAGACCAAACCCAACTCGGTACCGAGTCTCCGCCAACCGAAGAAAACCGAAAAGGGTTCGAGAAGGTAACTTAGATAGGAGGAATGTAGCGGTCGTATGTATCTAGTAAGGGTAGGGGTTAGAGACACGATAAGCCACGTGGATACATGCAAACTGTGAAATTGCGCCATCCACCGTGTAGACTGGGGTGGGTTGAATGGACCCACTTCCCGAGGTTGCTAGCCATCACCCTTTTTTCGGGAGTGGAGCAGGGAGCGTCTTGGTAGGATGCGACTATGCGCATTGATAATAGAGATTCGATACTACATCGTGATGAACCCGTCTGTTTATCTCGCGATATTCCACCTTTCATAGAAGTCTCGGGTTTGTATCTTCGGCATTTTCTGCGGTAGATGTTCGGTCGGTCGGAGGTGGCATCTCATCTTGTGGTAATGATGGTGGTAATGGGATTGGCATATGCAATGTAATGCTACTGTTACACTCCTCCACTCCTCCTCTCCAATCCTACCCCAAACCCACCTCCAACATCAACGTCAACGTCAACCCCGAACTCGGTCGAAAACCAAGACTGGATATCACGGTAAGGCACGATACAAGAACATGTCGGCGACGCTGAAGTGTGGACGCGCGTATCGTGGTATGTTGCAGTAGGGTTGGGTGCATGGTAACGGTAACGGTGGAGTTGCAGTGCATGGTGTTGATGCATGTCTGCGACTGCGACTACGTCGACGAGGTCGGTGGATCTGGGGTTGTGGGTGCGATGTGACATGTGCCATGTAGACGCGATGCGTCTTCGATAGGGAAGGTTGTACTCTTCCACCCCGCCGATCGCTGACGAGGTGCTGATGGATTGCTGTCGTTACATTCCTGTGGTGCAGATGTTGTGTATCACGACTGCTTGTACTGAGTAAGCAACAGGGACTCCGTGACAGGGAGACGACATGTACGAGGTGACGTCGCCCTAGTAGGAAACTGTCGCGAGGTATGAAAGACCGAGTGAATATCAGGAGATGGTGGATGAATACGTGGATATCGATACAGTTGGGAGTAATGTGACATGAGAACAAAATGGTATAGTAATAGCCTGCCAAGAAGTGGAAACGATGTCGCCGTCGTATATAACCGCAAGATGTCGTGCCACGGACTGTGCGTTCACCTTACCATGACGACACAACGTAATTCATATGTCAACAACGGAGTGCCATCACGGTAAGGTGAACGTTCAGTCCGTGGCGTAGGTGTACGTCCAACCTCATACCTGCCCTTCCCAGTTCAAGATCCCCAATGTCCTTACCCAAGTCTCTTCCGTGCCTGGAAACAACTCTTTCTACCAACCAACATTCTTTTCCTCATAACAGTATTACAAAATGATCCAAACGAATCAGCGGAAAGGGTATCATAACAAAGAAAAACAACCTACAACACCACCCCTCAACCCCAGGCATCCGAAAAATACCTCTTCGACCGACTCTTCCCCGCATCCGCCTTGGAGTCCTGCGGGAAAGGCGTGATGTGATGAACAACATGTGGCCGATACACAGCATCAACGGGCGGCATCCAGTCATCCAGACCAAGCGGGAAGTATTCGTAAAGCAAATCAGCACTTTCATCAGGGCTGTTGATGATGCCGATGGAGAAGGACGGGGGTCGCATTGGTGTCGCGCGTTTCCTTTGCTGGTCGTTGGGTGACGGTGCTTTTTGGGGCTCGTCGTCGGTGAGGGAGAGGGTGACGGGGGCTATAGATGCGCGATGCGGGGGCACGCTTCGTGAGATCTCGGGTGTTGATTGGGCGTAGGGTGTGGCGTGTTGGAGTTGGGATGATGGTGGATCGGGAGGTATTGCTGTCATGGCGCCTGCTGGTATCTTCCAGTCGAAGTCGGGAGAGGGCGGCATTTCATTTGCAGTAAACTCAAATGGCATCTGTAGTAAGTCCATGGGCTTAGACGAGGTCGCAGGCGGGTTTGGTGTTTGTTTCGGTGTGTTCTGGTTCGTGTCGCCAGTCGGCGTTCTGCTGGGTTGCTGTGGAGTGTGCACTTTGCGTGCGGTTGTACCTCCACTGATGGGCAAGTCCTTACGGGCCTGGAAGTTGCGCGGGCTTCTTCCTCGCACAATAATCGCACCAGAGTGGACTTCGCATATTGGTACTTTGACACCACTAGCGAGAGTTGCTATCACCTTCAATCGCACGACAAAATGTTGTTGAAGCTCCTTCCTCCGCCCATTGTTTGCAGTCGCTATCCGGAACTGTAGTCGCTTCCAACTAATAGGGAAACTAACATACTCCGAGTCCATATCCTGCCCGGTCGACAGATCGAGTGGGTATGTCGGTGGCTCCTTCTCAGTTTTGTCTTCGGTGGATGTGCTACCCGTGGCCGGCGTCTTCCACGGAACCGATATTATCTTTACGGGATTGCCCTCGAGTGACTCAGTTGCGGATATGGTGAGTTCTTGGCCGAGGATGGGTATTTGGTCGCCTTGTTCGGTCATGAGGAACTGCAGACTCCGGGGGATTGTGATGGTGCCGGTGATCTGAAAGAGGTTCCTCCTGTAGCAAGTCAATTCTGACGGCGCCTGAACATCGGCTGCGGTCGCCCAGGGCGATTCAGCCAAAAAGAACATGCCATGTAGCTGGGCCGACATGGATATTGACACTCTTTGCATGGCATATGTGAGGATGGTATACGGTACGACGGGTAGCGAGAAGCTGAGGAGCTTGTTGTTGCTCTCGATGCTCGGACTCTCAGGCACGCCATTCTGATCGTGTGGGTGGATCGACTGCTCGTAGCCGCTCTGGACGTCGGAGAAGGGGTCTTCGTATGTGCTGGGGTAGCGCTTGAGTTGCGGGGGCATCTGCTGGAGGTGGTATGTCGAGTAGGCGTCCTCGCTTCTGCGCAAACATGTCAGTAGCTGTCAGGCAGGTGTCGCGCACTGCTCCTACCCAATGAAGGTCTCGGCGTCGAAGTTTGAGCGCTGGTCATACTGGAGCGGCAGCGGCATGGCCATCTGCTGGTCGGGGCCTGTGACGGTCTGGAGCGGTATGTACGACATGGTGTTGGTGTTGAAGTGCTCCATGGCTTGGTGCAGCCTGGCCAGGGTCGAGGAAGAGGTCGCTTCCGATTCGGCGCATACGCGCAACAACAGCTATGACGCGGCGACGAAGAAGGCGCGATCGAGGATGCAGTGACAGGCACGTGGGAGTGGCCGTCGGCGGGTGGTGGTGGTGGTGGTGGTGAATCGGGAACGCTTGGGGCTCTGGGGTTGGAGAGGTGGAGAGATGCGGCAAGGCGAGCGAGCGGAGAAGATGGGGGACGAGACTGTTTGCGCGCTGACACTGTACAGCGAGCAGCGACACCGGACTAGACCGCACAACAGGGCTTGGGGCGGTGGCTCGCGGGAGGAAGACCAAGCGAAAGCCTTCGTAGCTGTCTTGCTGAGGTTGTGCGACAATGCATCTGCATCACATGCGCTTCTGGCCACGGTCGGACAGGCGCGCTGCACAAAGGGTCCCGTCTGCTGTGGGGCTCGGTAGGCGATTTTGACGGGAAGGATAAGCTTGATTACCCCAGGACACGATGCAAAAGATTCCAGGCACACTTTGTATATCTTTGCTATGATCTACGAGACATAAGGCGCTGGCACGCTGACTCCTTCGGTAGGGCTTCTCGAAGGGTCAAGCCGAACGGTGATCATCCTACGCCATCCCCCCAGTGGCGTCTCCTACTCTAGCTATGGACCCGCTCTCCAGCTGTAAAAATAACCCTGAAAGCCTCAAGCACCTCTAATCCGACGTCGCCTATACGGGAGGACGTCTATGTTTGCATTCTGTGCTTGTCTATCGAAATCTGCCATGCCTATCGATTCGATAGCGGAGAGGCGCAGCAGCTCTACCAGGCCAAAGCTTGCTGATCGCCTTGCGACAGGGCGGGATCAGCCGAGTGAGCGCGTCGGAAGGGGAGCTCCTTCGAGGCCTTCAGCGACCGTGAGACTGAATCAGACGGCAGAGCTGACCCTGCAAAGATCAAGAACCACGAGCTGCAGCATGAGAGACCGCTGATCTTTGGGTGTAATGGTTGGGATTATGATCCTGCGGTATGCATGCAGGACAAGCACGAGATACACGGAAACGCCGACGGACCCTTTAAGAAAACCATCCGATCCGAGTACATACGGCCAACGACCTGAAGGGTGCTTGCATGGTATGACATCAGATCATGGTACGAGCGATAGTAATAACCAATGGGACGCCAGTCAGTTCCGGAGAGCAAAAAGCAACTAGCACACGCACCCAAAATAACCCCCAAACATCGACCAAAACATTATTAATCGAAGTAGCAAGGAGCATGAGTATCTGACCTAGGTATCGAGCAATCAAGCAGGCGGGATCATGGTCCAGGTCGCAGCATCACAGCTGACTTCCTCAAAGTTATGCATGACATCGAAGCCCATTGCTGAGAAGCCGTCGAAGTTGCCGTCTCCGTCCATCTACCTGCGTTAGTACATCGTTGTGACCGAGCGATAGACGGCTACTTACATAGTCGAGCAAGCATGCATTGCACCCCAGCTGCTTGATCTGTCGCATGCCGAGTAGAATCAGTCCCTGCAGTAGTGTCGAGTACTCTCCCACGCCAGGAGATATGACGGGCGAGGAAATGCCTCCAGCCGCCTCGTTGAGGTCCTTCAGCGGAGGTATATATTCAGCAAGTCGTGAGTGGTTGTTGTAGAGTACAACAGTACCCACCAACGCACCATCTTCTGGTCGCTTTGCTCGGATGATTCCACAAGCCGTCGGATCCGTGAGCGCAAGCTTGTACACCTCTGCTAGACCCTGGCGGTTGCTCGTCTTGATATGGTCGAGTATCGGTCCCGCATAGTCCCACCCGTACACAAGATCGAATTGTGCGCCTGCGCTCGCTAGACTCTTTGCCATGCCAGTCGGTGGATTCCACGTCTGCAGATTGCGCGCTACCATGTTGCAGACAGGACGGGAAAGTGCAGCACCCCATCCTAGCTGTGCAAACCATGATCGGAGCCGTTTCCGCTCATTTCCGTGTCCGGTTGGGATCCCAAGATACATACTTGGCAGGCGTGACCCAAGCTGGAATCTCTTGATACCTTCTTTCTGGAGTAGCGTGCGGATAGCCCGGTTGTGTAGGGAATGGCCGATGGAGAGCTTTCTCCTTGCTGGGTCGACGAACAAAGCTCCAATCACACCAGTGCCCGTAGCCTTGAAGAAGTACGTTGAGCAGAAGCCGTACAGAGCTTGTGTACTACTGTTTCTAACGACAAAATGTGACTCCTCCACCTCTGGGTGATGCAGGATGAATGAGCTTGAAGTTGCACTCGACATCTCCGATCGTTGATTTGGCGCCGTTTCCTCCGCGACAGCTGCAACCAATGTGTCCAGAGCATTACTATCTCTCTCTTCGTTGAATATCTCAACGAGCCAATGTTGTTTGGATGGGTGAAGCTTTTGGCTCTTGCTGATGGTTCCTGGTAGTGTTCCGGAGGGAGATAGTTCGCCATAAAGTACCCTGACCAGGGAGTTGAGTGCAGTCTCGGTGAAGTCATAGGTGCCTGATGAAATTAGCTTGTCTGACCTCCGTTTGAACACGGACATGACTTACATATATAGGTTCCAATGGTATTGTCCATTGCGAAGTCGTACGGCGAGGAGACTGCGACCACAATGAGGGGTTTCTCACGCCTCTCACCACCAGTCGTGTACTGCATATTGCATATCATGGATACATGCTTGGTAAATCCATGCTGATATAGATTGCGATTTGCGTCAGCCGTGAGTACAATGATGGCACTTGCGCGATTGATGAGGTTTTCATGGACTGGACGGACACCGTTCGCAGTGTACGATGTGTGAAGCAGTCGTCCGTTGCGCTGTCTAGCAAGAGAACGACCCAGTTCTTTGAAGACTCTTTCTCCGCTCATGACTGAAGAACTCCGGTCCCAAGCAGCTGGCTCGGGTGAGTGACCCGGTGCTCCATTAGCAGCGTCGGATATAGCTCGCGATGCAGCGGATGCCGCCAAAGGTTTCACTAATGGTGTTAGTAGGAGAAGCTCCTCCTCGCTTTCGAGTATGTTTGTCAATGGCAGAAGCCTATTCTTGTCGCGTACGACCGTGATGGAGCTGTTGTACGCTTTCGTTGACAGCGCGGTATGCGAAGGCTGTAGCTTTTCCAGGTAATTGATGCCTGGCGGGTTCAATGCTTTTTCCCAGGATGTGCACTTCTTCTTCATCGCTAGCACACGTCTAAGTGAGTTAAAGATGCGTTCCTTCGAGACCATTTCGCTTTCTATGCCGGTCTTGAGGCCCTTCAGTCCTTCTTGTTGGAGCGAGAACGACCGGCATAGAAGGACCACGTCGCAGCCTGCGTTGACTGCCATTACTGTGCCGCCGCCTACACCGATGTTGTGGCTGAGAGCGTCCATTTCTAGACACTCGGAAACCACTACACCGTCGAATTTAAGGTCTTTTCGAAGAAGGTCGTCGACAACTTGTTCCGACAAACACGCGTGCATGGCGTTGAGTCCGGCTGATGACATGGCGCAACCACCAACCATCATGGAATCAAGACCTCTTTCGATGGCCTTCTTGAACGGAACCAAAGCGCTTAGACTCAGCTGTTCTAGCGACTCTGTGATGATCGGCACGTCAAGTGTAGAGCCAAGAAACTCCAGATTGCCATACGAAGGGAAGTGCTTCCCCAAAGTCACCACGCCAGCGTCCTTGTAGCCTGCCATGAAGGCGCATCCAAAGGCAGATACTTCTTGAGGGTCATCGCCAGCCGTCCGTACTCCCAGGGGCTGATTGCGCGCATTGGTGAGCACATCCAGACATGGCCCGAAGATCCAGTTGATGCCACATGCAGCAATCTCCTGTGCAGTCGACTTGGCTACTTCAAAGGCTAGGTCCGTGGAGCCGGTTGCTGCCATTCCCATATTACTAGGATACTGACGGATGTAGATGTCATCGAAAAGACTGTTGACGCCGCCATTCTCCTGGTCGATACCGATGGCCAGCGGAACAGGGTGTCCAGCATCGTGGGCAATCTTCTGAAGCTCGTAGATAAGCGCAGTAGTATCTTCGGCGGCTATGACAAGTCAGCCTGACAGTGACAGACCGAAAAAGGCGGATTACCAACATTTACAATTCTTGGCAGTAAGTAGTATGGAGCCAACATGATGTTCCTCGATCAGCGTACGAATGTGAGGAGTGACCGAGGTGCCATCGAAGCCCATCATGAACAGTTGGCCCTACAGCACCTTTGTCAGCGAATCCAGTCGCAAACATGGGCGGAAGCGACCCACCATAGTCCTGCATCACGGGCGAGTTAGCCTGACCTGTGGTCACATTGCGCAAACCTCAGGAAACCTGAGAGGAGGAAATGCGCCCGACGCGAAGCTCACCTATCGAGGTCATCCCAGACAGGGTCCATGTTTTCGACCTTGCTCATAATGACAGCTCCGTCGCGTCGCGTCGCAATGAAGTTTGTGGATGCGACGTGGGATTTCCGGGTGGGCACCAAGACTCCGCCGGCGTGACTCGCAAATCGGTAATGGTGGATGGGAGATGGGGAGGATGGCACCGTAGCATTCACGCTGTTCGCGGCTGGGGTACGTGATTAGCGAGGCGCTAGAAGCATGCACCCCCGTCCGTCGTTACACCATCCTCGTCCCTCTGCTATCAGCGACATCCACTCTGATGCCACCTCACATGCAACTGTGATGCATCCGGTTTCTTCGGCGGGATGTGATCATCGCTGTGTTACTTCGATCTCACGACGTCGGAATCCACATCCAGTCACCTTGGGCAATCCTACAGCGTGCGCTCCACGGCAATGATACCGGCCATTGGAGGCAAGTTTGCCCGCCTGTGATGACTCAATGGCATCATCGTAGGAAGATGAGCGTAGGTTTGCAGCTGCGATAGAAGTAGTAGGTAGGCGACAGATCCTTTGCGACGGATGTTGAGTTTGCAGCCGCACAACCAACCATCCAATCCATCCTGTCATTATCATTTCTGATTCATATCTCTGTACTTCTATCATTACACTTGGCAAGTATCCTACATCCATTGGTCCTCTTGACACGAACCACGATGCCCTCAATCGTCCCCATCCCCGACTCCCCCACACGCCCAGAGAACTCATCAGGCGTAATCAAGTTCACGAACTGTCTCCTCGTAAAAAACAACGCGCTCGTCCCACAAGACCTCTGGATAAGTTCAACGACAGGAAAAATCCTGAACGGCCAAGAAATCCTCTACTCATACCGCACCGCCCCCGAGCAAATCGTCGACCTAGGAGGGCGCATCCTCTCCCCGGGCCTCATCGACACGCAACTAAACGGCGCCTACGGCTTCGACTTCTCCGTAATCCCCGAAGACCGTGATGGCGGCGCACCAGCCTACGCAAAGGGCGTTGCACGTGTAAACAGGAGTCTAGTAGCAACAGGCGTAACATCCTACCTACCAACCCTCACCTCCCAACTCCCCTCGGTATACCAAACCGCGCTCCCCTTCCTAGGCCCCTCAGGCACATCCCGGGACGCGTCTCACGGTTCCGAATCCCTCGGCGCCCACTGTGAAGGCCCCTTCCTCTCCCCCACCAAAAACGGCATCCACAACACCTCCGTCCTGCGCACCCCAGACAACTCCATCAGCAGCCTAGAAACCTGCTACGGTGCCTCAAACCTCACCTCCCCTTCCCCCATCTCCCTCATAACGCTCGCCCCAGAACTTCCCGGCGCACTCGAATGCATCCCCGCCTTAACCACCCAGGGGATCCGCGTCTCAATCGGGCACTCAGAAGCCACCTACGAGGAAGCAAAATCCGCGATAAAAGCAGGATGTAGTATGATAACGCACCTCTTCAACGCCATGCGCCCCCTCCACCACCGTAACCCAGGTATCTTTGGCCTCCTCGGTACACCCTCGTCTTCCATCACGAAACCATACTTCGGTATCATAGCAGATGGAATCCACCTACACCCCACATCCATCAAGATAGCCTGGAATGCCCACCCTGACGGCCTTGTCCTCGTAACCGACGCTATGCGTCTAGCCGGAATGCCAGATGGTACCTACGAATGGACGAACGGGTCCAAGATTATCAAGCAAGGCCCCCTCCTCACGCTAGAGGAGAACGGGAAGATTGCGGGGAGTAGCATTCAGCTTGTAGATTGCGTTAGTAATTTCTTGAACTGGACCGGAGCGACGGTGCCGGAGGCGCTGAGGGCGGTTACGGAGACGCCGGCGAGGATGTTGGGGTTGGAGGGGGTGAAAGGGTGTCTGGATGAGGGTGCTGATGCGGATTTGTGCGTGTTTGATTTGCAAGAGAATGAGGGTGGGGAGAAGAGGTTTGTGGTAGATGAGGTATGGAAGTTTGGGGTTAGGGTTTTTGAGAGGGGGGTGGAGGCGTGATTGGAGTATTCTTTGTTCGCTTTGATATCAGATTGTATAGAGTATCACACATATATACAGCACTCCTGGCATTATTGGCAGTTCCTAGAATGACAGCATTAGCATCACTATACAGGTACCAACATTTATAACCCAGTCAATGTAAATAATGTTGTTCTTCTATCTATCCCTTTCCAATATGAACTCACGCGAAATTTGTACTCGCGGTTCTGAACTCCCCCAGGGCAATATATACAGAAGCAGCGCCGCGACAATATGCGCCAGTATAGCCCAAAAAAAAAACAGGGCCTACTTTCCGTCCCAGAGACGATACAGAAACGCGAAAGCTATGAACATAGCATGCTACATGTTTGACTAAACAAAAAGAGATGAGTAAAAGAAACCGAAATATGCCAGTGATGCGTATAGACTCGTGAGTCAATATTAACAGAACGCCGTGGAACACCGAACAGGCGAAATGGACCCAATATACCCGTGTGGAGAAGAAAGGAGATCGACAATCATGCTGTGACATCGTTGCAAGAAGAAAAGAAGTGCTCTAAACCAGGTCCGTTGTTCACTTGAACATCCACTGACAGTGACAAGCATCCTGAGGGTCCACGCGGCGCTGGATATCAACAAGATTTTCGCGCTTTGTCTTCCTGTCGAATGTGATGGTTTGGGAAGGTTGAGCAGCAAAGTACTCTTCATAGCTAGGATCTGATTCTTGCAACCATATCCTGATTGGGCTATCGTTCGGACTAGGTGACGTTACTATGTCATAGTTATCGAGCATGAGCATCTGTTGGCAGTATGGTTGTGGCGAATCGGGAAGACGGCGTTCTTCTATCTTGACGATCCGGGGATAAGGTGGCATACGAGGGGGCGAAGAAGCATCCGATCCGGAGTCTCGAGCGCGAACGGGTGACGGGGCGGCCAGGTCGACAAGGGAATTTGTTGGAGACGCTGCAGTAGTTTGTGTAGAGCTAGTAGAGACACTACTCTCAGTCGCCACAGCAACAGCAACATTCACAGCTCCATTGTCGGTTGTTTCGGGCGTGGGCGTAGGCGTGGGCCATTGGGTAGGGAACGAGGTAAAGGTAGCTGCTGTCGAGTTGTCATCAGCGTAGATGTAGCCCTCGATGTATGTTTCATTCCAGTAGCAAAACCAGGGGGTATCGCCAGGTTGAACCTGGAAGCGCTGTCTGTACTTCTCGTCTTGTCGTTTCGAGAGTCCTGACCCGAAACTGAGCTCAGTGGGTTGCAGGACAACTAGCTTGTCGTATCGAGCAGAGAAATGATAGGCTGGACCGTAGCCCTTGAAATCCAGATCGAGCACCAGCTCCATCGGCTTAGTATCAAGCAAAGGAGTCTGTAGGCCATACAGTACAGAGTTTGCCGGCACCGAAGGTCCGCTACCCATCGACGCAACTTGTTGAGTTTCGCCACCAATGACGGTGTCGTTGATAGTTATAACGAGCGGGGCAAAAGTCATCTTGCATGACCATGCAGAATACTGATTTGCTTGTGTCAAGCATCCCGCGTTTTGCTCTTGCGGTATACCCAAAGGAAGTGCGAAGGATCCTGTTGGCAGCGGTAAGAGACCAGATGGTGTTGAGATGGGAACAGCGTCGAAAAGTGATCCGTTTTGGCCCGTTACCTGAGGTTGCCTAGCAGGAGTTAGTAGAGGATTTCATTGATGGACTGTGAGTACTTACGCTTCCTCATGAGGGCCGCCATTTCCATTCTGGTCGTCGTCGTCGTCATTGTGTTTCTTGGCAGCAAAGGTACCAATGGCTGCTCCAAGGGCGACAGAGAATACTAGTATGAGGACAAGGACTACGAGCGCGACACCCATAGGCACCTTTCCCCATAGTTTCCTCTTACGCCAGCTGACCTTGCCTTCAACTGGCTCTGCCTTCTCCGAGAAGTGGTTCTCAGACGCCAGTAGAGATGCAGAGGACGAGTCAGAGGGTTCTGCTGGCACGGTACTGCTTTGTGCAGCGGCAGAATTGGTAGCCGCTAGGTTGCCGGTTTGGGTTTCTGGTCTCTGAGGTGGCAACCGGGCGGGTGTGACGGACGGGAGCAAAGGAACGGCAGGTAGAGGGGGTGGCGAGAATGAGGTAGTGCTCAGCGGTGAGACAGGAGATGCGGGTGTGTTGAAAGGATCCTCTGCGTCAACTTGGACGGGCGCAGGAATGACACGCGACGACGCGCTTGCCTCGGCTGCCAAGGAAGCCTTGGTGGGTCCTTCCTCTGGAAATCTCGAGTACGGTGGCAGTTGCTCGGTGTGTCCGTCGGGTCCGATGATATCCTGCTCCTCGCCATCCGGTCCAAGCACTCTGTGGTAGCCGTTGTTCAGGCCCGGGAATCCCACGGGAATAGTCGACTGGACCTGAGGTGGAGGTGGCTGGGCTGGCTCGTCCGGTGACTCTTGGTCGACAATGCCGCTTTGCGAGTACATGGCATAGGGATGTGTCGGCCGCTGCAGTGACATTGATCGATGCGGTTGGCGTTCCGTCGAGCTTGTTGCTACGCTAAGTGGCCGTGCCATTGATAGCTGCGGGTACATGCCATACGGGTGGCTCGGGCCCGTCTCGAACGGGTTCTCAGAGTTGCTGGTCGTCGCAAAAGATCCCGCAGAGCTCACAGAGTCGCGATGTCCAAGGGGCCTGTGGTGGCTGGGCCCTCGGTTGAGGGGCGGTCGGCCACCATCTTGCGTCATCGAATCCCGCACCTTGGCCGTGCTGTTTCGCGTCGCCGTCCTTCTTAGGTCGCTCTGGTGGCTCTCGGGCGCTTTCGAGGTCGATGGTTGTCGCTGCAGCGCGTCTATCCGGTTGTGATTTTGGCGGTCGCCCTGCCAGGGCTGGCTCGCGTTGGCTGGTCGGAAGCCATCCGAGACGGAGGGCATGAAATCATCCTCGTCGGGGTCGATTTCGTAGTCGTCGTCAAAGACATCGGGGTTGCTCAGCTGGCGCGGCGGTTCGTTGTTGTCGCTGCTGCGTCGGTCCATGACGCCGAACGGTCCCTGAGCCCCAAAGGCCCTTCCTGGTCCCCCTTACAGTCCTCCCCGATGGCAAAGCAGGCGTGTCGTCAAAGAATTAATCAATGTAGTGCGCGATCGGTAGCGATGAGCGTCGCGCGGGTAGCGAGTGTGGTGGGAATTGGCGTGTGTCGTGTCGTGTCGTTGGTAGTGGAGAGAGGGTGTATCAGGTTTGGCAGAGGTTGTCCTGAGACGCTGGCGCCACTAAACGGCGCACGGGCGAACACCCAAGCCTGAACATCGATAAGCACCCCTTCGACATCGCATCCTTCGGCTCTCTGACCAGCTCATCAAGCTTCTGACATGTACACTTTATTCTCTGCTATCTACCTGCAACTTCTGCGCTTAATTACCTCCCATCCTCCCCTAGTCGCTGCGAGTTCATTTTCACCCCTCTCGCATTAATATAGAGCTACTTTAGGACGACCTGGCCTTACCTCATATGCTCTGCCGCTTTTCTGCATCATATTCACGTGCACCCAGCGTCATGCATGGAATCGCGGGCTCTACAATATGCCACCAGTCGATTGACCCGGGCCCATCTTCTCTACTGTCGGGCGAAGTGCTTCTTTATGATCAGACGAGTCATATTTAAAACAGCTATTAGGCACGATGTCCGACCATGACATGGTGTGTCCGGGATTGATGTTGGGGCTGTCATCTGGTCCGCGACATCGACATGTCGGTGGACTTTCGGTCATGCATAGGTTACCGAACTATAATACGTGTTGACGATATGGGACTCGTTGTGCTAGACGACGAAGGTAGCGATCGCTGCAGGATCATATTTCTGCTCAGAGCTGCTCGAAACCCGTGTGCTATCATCCGCACTGATCGTCAGTGACGTCGCTCCTGCTCCTAGAGAGAGATTTTGAATAGTGGAGTTGATGCCCTGCCACCATACGACATTTTGGATAGTAAAAGTTGAAGAGCGAACCGGGCACGTGGTACTTATGTACTTGTGCTCTGCATCGGGGAGCCCATGTCAACCTAGGGTCATGACGACAACGGCGAGGAATGCCTAGGATGGCCCAGCCTGTTCGCCCGCTGCAGTTCAAGGTTTGGCCTGGCCTCCAACATGCGGGCATGGAGATATCAATTCACCCGAAAAGGTGTACCTATAACGTCAGTTGTTCTCATCCTTACGCCACTCCCGGATACTTGCATCGATTCCATTCGTCAGTTGAAGCCTGGGCCATGCTTGACATCCCCTATCCGACTTAGGATGCTCCTGAACTGCTTTTTTATCATTGATCGTCCGAGAACATGACTGCAAGCTGGAATTAGAGTTTATATGCGTTTACGATACCATCTTCCATAGAAGAAGCCAAGTGATCTCGGTGGATTACTACCTATCAAAATCATCCCGCCCACCAAGTACATCGCGGATAGCGACCACGGGAATCTAGGCAGCAGCCTGGCCAAATGTGAATACCCTCATTTTCGGCCGAGTTCTACTGAAGATGTGTGATGCCATCAGCATAATGGGCAACTCGGGTCCAAAGCAATGACGGCCTTCTCGTCCGACGTTATCAGATACCTTGCAATCCCTTATGCAACACAGATACCGCAGCATCGTGACGCGGCATTACGCATGCTGTGGAGGCTGTGTTCTGGCAGGTCGGTAGGTAGCCATCTTTGTCGAGTATCGCGGATGAGGTTGCTAGGGGGGACTTGTTGTGATGGGCTGATGGTTCCTGACTAGCTAGTAAATCCCTGCATGCCAAGAAGCACGGCGATAGGTTGTCGACGAGTACGTCCGCCGCCCGGTGGAAAAGGGCCAACTCACGATGCTGGGGGCGCGATGAAGTGAAGTGAAGATATACGTTCGCAAAACATGCACCTGGGACGAAGCGAGGAAAGCGGCATGCAGGCGTTTCTTTTTCGCCAGACGAAAGCCCCGCCATGCTGCCGGTCATCGCAGCCAGACCCTGAATGCCCCGAGAAGAATGTACCGAAAATCTCAGGGACTAGCAGACACAACACTGGGAGCGCGTGGGCCGCTGTTAGGATTGTTGAGTGCTAGGTCTGCACAAAACCCGTTACTTGTCCCCTTTCGAGCCCTGTACCCACGGCGTGCTAGCATTGCCACGAAACTGATTGCCGCTACTAAACTGCACCTTGCCATTGTCGCGTAGGATTTACTCGTCAAGTACTTAAGGCGGTGAACTCCCCTCCCTCGCCAACACACTCCCTTTCTGCTCCTCACACAACACTATACACTACTGCAAACATGGCTGCTCGTCCCTCCAACATCGGTATCAAGGCCATTGAGCTTTACTTCCCCAGCCAGGTACGTTGTTGCTGTGGTGGGCGGTAGTCGCCGTCCCAATGCACATGCGCCCGCTGCAACTACGCTCTCTACAACAACACCCACTAACAACTCGCCCATAGTGCGTTGACCAGGCCGAACTCGAGAAGTTCGATGGCGTCTCCCAGGGCAAATACACCATTGGTCTCGGCCAGACCAAGATGTCCTTCTGCGACGACCGCGAGGGTGAGTCCAAGATTTTCTGCTCGCACGACCCCATGTACCCAGAAGAGGAACTGACAGCTTCTCCACCCAGACATCTACTCCCTCGCCCTGACCACCGTCACCTCCCTCTTCAAGAAGTACAATGTCGATCCCAAGAGCATTGGCCGCCTCGAAGTCGGTACCGAGACTCTGCTCGACAAGTCCAAGTCGGTCAAGTCGGTGCTCATGCAGCTCTTCGAGGAGTCTGGCAACTACAACATTGAGGGTGTTGACACTGTCAACGCCTGCTACGGAGGAACCAACGCGCTCTTCAACTCCGTCAACTGGATGGAGTCCTCGGCCTGGGACGGCCGTGACGCCGTCGTGGTCGCTGGAGACATTGCGCTGTACAAGAAGGGCAACGCTCGCCCGACTGGTGGCGCTGGATGCGTAGCCATGCTCATCGGCCCCAACGCGCCCATTGTCATGGACGCTGGCCAGCGCGGTTCCTACATCAGGCACGCCTACGATTTCTACAAGCCCGACTTCACCAGCGAGTACCCTGTCGTCGACGGCCACTTCTCCGTCCGCTGCTACACCGAGGCTGTCGATGCCTGCTACAAGGCCTACAACGAGCGCGAGAAGACCCTCAAGTCGCAACAAAATGGAAACGGCGTAAACGGCAGCAGCGAGCTCGAGACTGCTCTCGACCGCTTCGACTACATGGCTTTCCACGCACCTACCTGCAAGCTCGTCGCCAAGTCGTACGCGCGTCTGCTCTACAACGACTACCTCGCCAACCCCTCCAACCCCATCTTCTCCGAGGTTCCCGCTGAGCTTCGCGACATGGACTACGCCACCTCTGTCAGCGACAAGACCGTAGAGAAGACCTTCATGGGTCTCGCTAAGAAGCGCTACGCGGCTCGCGTCCAGCCCAGCATCCAGGTCCCGACCCAGTGCGGTAACATGTACTGCGGCAGTGTCTACGGTAGCTTGTGCAGCTTGCTCGCCAACATCAGCAGCCAGGACCTCGAGGGCAAGCGCATTGGTATGTTCAGCTACGGAAGTGGTCTGGCCTCATCTTTGTTCTCCTTCACCGTCAAGGGCAGCACCGAGAACATTGCTAAGCAGCTTGACATCCAAAACCGTCTCGAGAAGAGGCGTGTAGTCGCCCCTGAGGTTTACGACGAGGTAAGTCCTTGAAATCTAGATTGCTACAGAACAGCCCACTAACATTTCTACCAGATGTGCAACCTCCGTGAGCAGGCTCACCTCCAGAAGGACTTCACCCCCAAGGGAAGCGTTGACACCATCGTTCCCGGCACCTACTACCTCACCGGCGTCGACGGCATGTTCCGCCGCTCCTACGAAGTTAAGCAGTAGACGCGTTGTCTACCGCATTATACCCACCACAACTTCATTTCTTCCTTCGCTTGCATTCTGAGCATTTGCGGGAGTCATCTCCATGATTCAGCTTAGACTCAAAAGGTTGCATTATTTCACACTTGGCGTATGGGACAGTGGCCCCACTTTGCCGACCGCAGGGTTGTGGGAGTCGTGGTACACGAACATTTACGATGGATGATAGGGATGGGAAGGATCATACATGTATATTGTCTAGATCTGCATGGTGGCATGACAAGAGTCGTGCCATCTTAATATTGGCTTCTGAATGAGGCATCGACACTGTAGATAGACTAATGCGATGTTTACAACTTTACCATGGTCCTACAGCGAGGTAAAAGTCTTATCCATACCGACATCGGCGCCTAATTCCAAGACTCGTTTCATCTACTTTGAACAGGCATCATGCAGGATTGACGTATACTAATCCTTTCGGGGTGTTCCTCGTCTTGACCATGGATGAACGAATCGTACCTCGGCTCAAACTTCAGCTCCGCGTCGCGATTACCGCCCCGCTGCGAACTTTGAAGCTTACGACAACATCTGAGCTTCCTTTTCCTTGATCTGAGCATTGTAATTGCGCATCGCTAATACAAACTTCCTATATCCAACACATTGTGCAACCATCACCAACTTCATCATGGGCAAAGAACTGGGTCCTGGCGTCGGCTTCGAGTTTCCCTCGTATGAGGTGTCATGGCTCAAGCGCGATCTCCTGCTCTTCGCAAACAGCATTGGCGCAACCTACCCGGATGAACTGCACTTCCTCTACGTAAGTCAATCCATCACAGTCTACACACACCTCACACATCCATCCCAAGCGCAATCCCCCAAGCTATCCAACAACTCTAACACCACCCCAGGAACTACACCCATCCTTCGCAGCCTTTCCAACTTACCCCATCATCCTCCCATTCAAGCACACGGACCAAGAAGTCATCGACTTCTACGCGCGCAGCAATGCCGAGCCCATCGAAGGCGTCCCCAAGTTCGACACCAAGCACGTTCTCGACGGCGAGCGCAAGATACAATTCTTCAAGCCACTTCCCGTGAGCAGCGAGGGACGCAAGTTCGAGATCAGGAGCAAGGTGCTGGGTGTATACGACAAGGGCAAGGCGACCGTTGTCGAGACGGAGAACAGGCTTGTTGATGCGAAGACTGGGGAGACGTATAGTAGGGCTGTTGGCAGTGGGTTTTATGTTGGTCAGGGTGGTTGGGGTGGACCGAAGGGTATGTCTCTTATCTCCACTGAAGCTCAGCGTGCTCGCGATGGAGCAGCTACAACAGTATAACACAAGACTAACACCTCCCAGGCCCCAAACAACCCAACTACCCCCCTCCCTCCCGCGCCCCCGATAGCACACACGTCCACCAGACCACCATGGAAACCGCACACCTCTACCGCCTAAACGGCGACTACAACCCACTCCACGCGGACCCGGAGCCAGGCAAGAAGATGGGTTTCGGCGGCCCCATCATCCACGGCCTCTTTTCGTGGAACATGTCTGCGCACGCTATTCTGAAAGCGTTCGGTGCATCCAAGCCTGAGAACCTGAAAGAGTTCCAGGCGAGGTTCGCGGCGCCGGTTAAGCCGGGGGATAAACTGATTACGGAGATGTGGAGGACAGGGGATAGGGATCAGGATGGCTTCGAGGAGGTTAGATTTGTGGTTAAGGTGGAGGGCGGGAAGACGGTGCTTACGAATGGGAGAGCGTTGGTGAAGTGTGAGGGGGGGAAGGCGAAGTTGTAGGGTCGTATATACTTCGCTGAAGACGTTGCCCAGTTGGACGTGTAAAGATCACATGAATATGAGTATGTATCAGCTGTAGCAAGTACAGACCTAAACGGATACCGTCTTGAGCTCTTCTGTAAGACATCTGACATGCATACCCTCTACCCCGCCTAGAACGGCTAGATCCTCCGTCACTATACATGTTCCCCATCCGTAAACTTAATCAATCAGATAAGATGAACGTGCAGCTCACGTGTGTGACAGGGATGCGGCGCCTCCGCCCGTCAGGGACCAAACTGAAGCACGAAATGCAACACGATGGCTCAACTCCGCGCTTCATGGCTCTTCGGTGTTTGCCTGATGGAGTAGGGCCAACTTGCGCAAACGTTTCACTCGAGACCTTGGGAGGGAGATGAAACTGTGCGCGGACTGAGGAGAACGAGAAAGAGGCTGGCAACTTTAGAAGGAGAGAGACTTGCGCTGTTCATCTCCACATCTCTTGCGGTTCGATCTCGTACGGTTACTCAGTCTTTGTTGGGACCTCGACGACGGCTGCCGGTCCTGCGCGTGTGAGCGAGACGAGGCGACATTTTTTCTGTATTCTACGTACAGACACACCCCCTCTGGTACACGACACGACGAACCGCACACGCTCCTCGATCGACTTCCACCATCCACTATCCACGATGCTCCTCACGCTACCCGCCACGCTCCTCCCACTCCTCCTCACTCTCACACCCACAACGGCGTACAAACCCCTCTCAGACAGCTTCCTCCGCGCCCTACCCTCTCCCAACAACACCCTCGACGCCAAAGATGGCGCCCTCCTCTCTCCCCTCCTTATCCCACGCGTCCCCGGCACCCCTGGTCAAACCCTCGCCCAACAACATCTCTTCTCGTATTTCACAAAAGAGTTACCCACCTGGAACCTAACCTGGCAAAACAGCACCTCCGTGACCCCCACATCCTCCACCCCCCTCCCCTTCGCCAACCTAATCGCCCGCCGCGAACCACCCTGGGTCGCCCCCGGCCAATCCAACCTCCTCACGCTCGTTGCGCACTACGACAGTAAGTTGCATCCAGATGGGTTCATCGGGGCAACGGACAGTGCAGCGCCGTGCGCCATGTTGATGTACGTGGCCAAGGTGATAGATCCTTACATAACCCGGATGTACGAGGAGATGAGTGCATTAGGGGAGGGCGGGGATGTGGATATGGATATGGGTGTTCAGATAGTGTTTTTGGACGGCGAAGAGGCGTTTGAGGTTTGGAGTGATAGTGATAGTTTGTATGGGGCAAGGTATGTTGATCTCTGTTTGCAAGGTCTTGATCGGCTGTTCTGTCGTTATTTGAGGCCACAGATAGGACGGGATGGTGTTTCTTGAGAAATAGTATACTGACTTTCACACAGAGCCCTAGCAACCCACTGGTCCTCCAACTTCAACCCCCCCTCCCCCGCCTCAAAATTCTACCAAAATCGCACTCCCCTCTCCCAAATCAGTCTCTTCCTCCTCCTCGACCTCCTCGGTTCCGCCTCCCCCCTCGTCCCATCCTACTTCCCCACCACCCACTGGGCCTACGTGCACATCTCCACCATCGAGTCCCGGCTACGCAGTTTGAACCTCCTAGAATCCTCACCATCCACACCCTTCCTGCCAGATGTAAATGGGACAATGGGGCATGGAGGGATATCAGATGACCATCTGCCGTTTATGGCAAAGGGGGTGGAGATCTTGCATGTGATCCCCAGTCCGTTTCCGGGGGTGTGGCATACGATGCAGGATGATGGGGAGCATTTGGATGGGGCGACGGTGAGGGATTGGGCTAAGATTGTGGGGGCGTTTGCGTTGGAGTGGTTGGATATGATGGAGGTGTGGGATGAACCTGGTGAGAAAGCGACAGCGGGTAGGAGGTGGTTAGCATAGGACAGAACCTTCAATGCAGCAGAATCGTAATGACGACGAACGTGAACAAGTAAACTTGATGTCTCATATCTTTATGTACAAAAAGGCTCGCCCATATCCCTCATACCACTCGATCCATATCCCCTCGATATAACGATGCGTATGAATTCATGTCGTAAGTATATGCCGAACTTGCAGAAAGAAGAAAGGAAACCCGTGTAGACACGCGCGCATAATGCACAAAGAACGGAAATAAGCAGCCTGAACTCGACGAAAGTGCCATTAAGAACTCCCACATTGGATGAAAAAGCGAAAGCAATGCACCAGCGCAATGCAAACCCATAGCCCAGCAAAGAAAACATCGTGTTTACTGTAGCGTGGGAGACCGCAGCAACTTGAACTCATTCTGGGAAATCTTGTAATCGTAATCAGTCGGACGCTGTGTCAGGTCCTTGTCGGCACAGGCTGTGTCGTAATGACCATGCGTCAGGTCGTGACAGCAGCAACCGATGGGGCAAATTAGGGAAGGACTTGAACGCAGTCCAAGTCCTGTGTGGTAGGCTCCGGGTATCCAAGAAAAGACTCATACAAATAGTACCGCCATGTACCGGCAAGATAGAACAAAGCAGAAACTTTTGTCAGGTCCTGGAGGAACCTAGATAGAGAAGAGCAGGCTGCGTATGTGAGCATATGCTCATCATACATCGAATTGGCCGTGGTTGAAGACGTCGTGCTCGTTGCTGGGAACGATGCCGGACATCCTATCTCCGCGTCCAGCAGGTCGGTCCCAGTTGACTTCGTCCGTCTCATCCTCGTCCATTCGCTCCAAGGCGTCGTTCCTTTGCCTGTCGTTGCCGAATTGTTGCTCCATTGTACTCTGGTCGGTAAAGGTAAAGCCAGCAAAGTTTGCTTGCATGGTCGGTGACAGTGGTGTGGATGCGGGGTTGACGCCAGATGCCAGGGCGGCTGCGCGGGCGTTCAATGAACCAGCGCCGTTAAGAGCATTGGTAAACTCGGGGTCGAAGTTGGAAACATCGAGCTCTCCCTTGAGCTTAGGCTTGAATGGCGGTACCACGTTCTTCTTTCCTAGAGCTTCCCAGTCGATGTCGGCAAAGAAGGGATGAGCCTTGAGCTCTTCGGCATCGCGTGTGGCACCAAGCCTGTGCTTGGGGTTCCTGTTGAGAAGTCCCTTGACGAAATTCCTACCTTCAGTGCTGAGGGCGTCCCGAGGGAACCTGACCTTTCCGAACGCGATGTTCTTGTACATCTGTTGGGTGTCTTCTGCGTAGAAAGGACTCCAACCACAGCACATCTCAAAGACTAGCACACCGAGCGACCAGAAATCGACCATCTTGGTGTAACCGTGTTCGTCGAGAAGGACCTCGGGCGCGAGGTACTCTGTGGTTCCGCAGAATGTGTTGGTGGTGGCGTTCTCGGTAAGGTTGGCCTTGGACAGACCAAAGTCACAAAGAGCGATGTGGCCATTGGCGTCCAGAAGGATATTCTCGGGCTTCAGATCGCGGTACACGATGTTGTGCTCGTGCAGATGCTGCAGGGCGAGGATGAGCTCTGCAATGTAGAACTTGGCACGACCCTCCTGGAAGCGGCCTTCCCTCTGAAGATGCCAGAAGAGTTCGCCTCCCGACATGTAGTCAGTGACGAAGTATAGATCTGAGGGTGTCTGGAAGGAGAACTTCAGTCCAACGATGAATGCCGAATCAGCCATGGCCGTCCGGACGAGAATGTTGCGTTCTCCAAGTGTGTGTGCTACCTCCTTCTTCTGCACGATGACCTTCTTTGACAGCACCTTCATGGCGTAGATGCGGCGAGTGTCCCGCTTGCGTACTTGGAAGACCTGACCAAATGTGCCCTTTCCGATGAGCTTGAGAATCTCAAAGTCTTCGGGGCCGTAGTGCTTCTTCTCGACCTTTTGGAAGTTGAGCTTGAGGTGAATCTCTCCGGTAACAACACCTCCCTCGCCCTCTCGGGGCTCTAGCGGGAACCAGCCGTCGTATGGCTCGCTGTATTCGACAAGGTTCGGGCAGAAGCGGACGTGGCCGAGGAAAGCCTCACCGTTGGCCCTGTCGTAGACGGAGACGTCGATTTCGGCGTGGTCGCCTACAACGTCACTACGACTGTCAGCATCATCACAGAGAGAGGAAGGAGCTACTCACAACATGGCCTCGTGCTCCCACTTGGGGCTTGTAACTTCCTCCAAGGAGCCATTCTCCCTAGGATCTGAGCTGTGGCCGCTGTTGCTGCTCTGTCGGCTCTTCATTGGGATTGCCATTGGGGTTCCCATCTGGCTCTCGGTTCGCTTCATCTGCATGGGCGGTCGCTTCGACTCATCGTGCCTAGGCCCGTCTGAGATGTACTCAGCCCATTGGAATTGGCAGACAACGTAAGGGTCTGTGCTAGGCCGCAGACCCCGTCCCTCAGAAATGGTAACTGAGAGCTTGCCCTTGGGTGCCACTACGGGAGCCGTTTTGCTCTCCTTGGATTCGTCGGACGCGTTTGAAGTGCGGGATAAATTCGAGGGCACGGGCTTTGCTTCTTGAGAGCGGGTGCGCGGTGTCTGGGGAGGTGTAGCCTGTTGCAACGGCGCAAAGTCGCCTTGCGTTAGCTTCTCCGTTTCACCAGCCAACTGCGAGGTTGAGGGAGTTCGGGAAGAGGCACTGGGGGCGGGGCTGGGCAGCATGTTGGGGTGGGTTGGTGGCTCTTGCTCCTTCTCTCGGGGGTCCGACACCTGAGCAGTGACGGGTGCGGGGGAGGGGTTGACCGCGGAGGAGGATTTCCGCGAGGGCATAAGAGAATCACGAACCTGGCCAAAGTAACTGTGCAGAATACCCGGCAGTCGCTTGTCCGTCGGGTCGGGCTTGGGTGTCGTGGCACCCGGTGGCGTGGAGCTGGTGGAGCCGATCTGGTCGTGTCCGTCTTCGTTGCTGTCGTTGGTGGCTCTGTGCGGCGTTAGCAGTGATGACGAGGGCATCAGGAAAGTGGCGGTGAGAGTGAGAGTAGTGAGAGTGGTGAGAAGAAATGTAGGGAAAGAGCGAGGGTGCACGTCGTCAGGACTCTGCACAGCTGCACAGGAGGCAAGCTAAGCGATGATGTGGTGTGGTGCGTGGCAATGCGGTGCAGCAGCATGACAGTCAGGATGCGCTTACCGTGTCATGGCCTGTCTGAGCAGGTCGGCGGCGCCAGACGAGGTGCCCGTGGTGTGCTGGGCCATGGTGTTGGACTTTGGGTGTGACTTGGACTGGCGGATCGAGGGCGCGGTGCCGACGTTGAGCGTGGAGACGGTAGGAACAACACTGCTGCTCTTGTTGCGAAGATGATGGCGGGGTCGAATGGTCTTGGTTGAACTCTCCGAGGCGCGAGAGACTAGTCCGGGACGTTGCTGGCTGGCATCGACAGCGGGGCCTTTGGGGGGAGCAATCTTGTCGGTTTCCCTGAGGCTGGCGCGCGACGGGCTGCTGGAGTACGTGTCGCTTTGGGGGGAGGTCGAGAGCGAGCTGTCTGCCGGGTCCGCAGTTGGGCGTGAAGTCATAATAATCACTTGGGTCCTGGCTGGCTGCTCCGAGCGGCCTTAGCCCTAAACAAGCGCACTGCAACGACTGTGCGAAAACTCTGCTCTAGGACTTTAACGGGGCAGGCAGTCCGAGTCCTTCCAGGCTTGAGGCGCGCGGGCTGCGGGCGGTGTACAGCGGTACTGGGTAGACGTGTACTCTGGGACCGTGGGAGGGCCTGGGGCGTTGCAGTAGTAGGCTTTGACTCGAGGATGAAAGCAGCGTCACCGGCAGGCGAGATAGGCAGGCGCCGTGTAGCTCACTGACTTGACTGTCGCTGGAATTCACTGCGGGCCTTGCTATGTATCAATCCCTCTCAACGTGATTGCATTGCACCATCCCTCGACCTAGCAGCGCCGCCTCCAGTCCCCTAAGCTCCTCCGGTTTTCACCGCCACTGTCATCTGTCTCGGCGAGCAGCATGACCAGGTCAACCAAAACCACACTTTGCTCGGCCATGCATTTGTGTGCGCCAAGCAGGTGCAACGCGCTGACGTAGTTATCCACTGCCATTGCTTCTGCCGACATGCCACTGGGCCGGCATCGCCCAAACCGGCCGGGAAGAGATACAGTCCCTGGCTAAGATCTCGGAACGCGACCCAACGACTGCCAATCACCGCCTCCACACGCCCGTCGCCGGTGGAGCACGAATACCCTCACATCAATGCTCAAGCCAGCGCCTGCATCAAGCTCCAAGCCTGTCGTTTGAAGAAAAGCCTCAACGATCCACCCGTGATGCCACTGCGACGTTAGCGACATATGGCCCGATAGCACTGCGATAGCGCCCGCCGCCCTGGATACACTGTCGCTATCGAGCAACACCAGTACCGTGACTGGGTGCATGTGAAGGCTGCGGCTGACTCGAGCAAACACAACCCACCATGTCTACAGGAAGAACTCTATATCCTTTGTTGCTGGTTGCACCTTGATCTGTTAGTAAGCTGTACGTCTGCTCCTTCTGGAAGATATGACGCGGATAAGATAAAAATGGGGAACGTCGGGGCGCGCTTTGGTAGAGACACACATCACTCCTCGCAAACTCGCGTTACCCAGTAAGCCTCGTACATCATGGCTGTATTTCGGGTGGCTGCCGTGGTTACACAGTAAACGCTCGATGATGCCAGATACCTAGGCAAAGGGTCTTCGGCCAAACAGCCGGCCCGTGCCCCGGCCTCTCTGCATTTCTTACTTAGCAGGGCTGCAACCGCGCGCAGTACCGAAGCTCAAAGCCAACACCACACGCTGCCGCGCATCCACCCACCATGTCTGACCGCGAATTCGGTGGCAACGACGATCTGTCGCTGCCCAAAGGTCGGCATTTCCAGACTCGCATCCCCCGTAAATGCTAATACGCGCCAGCGACCGTCCAAAAGATTGTCCAAGACATCCTGGCCAGCGAGCCTGGCATGACCTTTGCAAAGGATTCGCGCGACCTTCTGATCGAATGCTGCGTCGAGTTCATTACTCTCATCTCCTCCGAGGCCAACGAAATCGCCGAGAAGGACGCCAAAAAGACGATAGCCTGCGAACATGTCAAGGCTGCCCTGGAAGAGCTAGATTTTGGCGACTATGTCCCAGCCATTCTCGAGGTCGCGCAAGACTACAAGAAGCAGCAGCAAGTACGTTTGCGACATCACATGTTACGCGACCACTAGCTAACGCGGGGCAGAATCGCGAAAAGAAGCAGACCAAGATCGAGCAGAGCGGCATGACCGAAGAGCAACTCATCGCTGCGCAAGAAGAGCTGTTCAAGAACGCGACGAGCAAGTTCAACGCGCCACCCGCACAGTGATGTTATATCCCATGGACGACTTGTACGAATAATGGCTCGAGTTGCGCGGCGTTATGTAGGCATTGCGAAGGCGTGAGGCAGGCGTTTGGCTTAGATTAGGGACACATCAAAGGCATCCAGGGTGCGGGCAGGCACACATGCACCATGTTTTCAGCATAGATTTAGGCGTTATCCAAAGGCGATGAAAGCCCATGAGGCAGCGACACGAAATCGAACGTGTCACTACAACCACCACCATAGTTCATTTACTCACTTCCACTGCTTTGTGAATGCGCGCCGAGAACAAGAAGCGCGTGTTTCACGGCCAATGACGTCGGGGTTGGGCCCACACCCCGCGTGGCCAGTAGCGGCATCCCACCACAGCGCTGCCCACTACCGCCTATCTCCCGAACCACTACCCATAGCACAACTCCACAACCCATACCCTCCAAACTATACATCATGTCGGGTCTCGAGAATGCGCTTTTCAACCTCAAGGTCAGTTACTGTGTGTTGACGCTGACTAACTACATGCTGACACCCCTCAGTTCACGGCCAAGTCGCTGAACAGGCAGGCGCTCAAAGCTGGCAAGGAAGAGCAGGCCGAGAAGACCAAGCTGGAAAAGGTTTGTGACACATTTGTTCCGCCCGAGAAGTTGCATTAATACCCGTCCTAGGCTATGAAGCAGGGCCACAACGACATCGCCCGCATATACGCCGGAAACGCCATTCGCAAGCAGAATGAGAAGCTCAACCTGCTACAACTCGCCTCACGCGTCGATGCCGTCGCAGGCCGTGTACAAACCGCAGTCACCATGCGACAGATTACAGGCAACATGATGAAGGTCAACCGGAGTTTGGACGTGGCTATGAAGTCTATGAGTCCGGAGAGGGTACGCGAACCTCGTAGCTATTGGGATCAGGACGCGCTGACAACATTTAGATTGCCTCCGTCATGGTCGATTTCGAGAAGCAGTTCGAAAACGTAGACTCCGCCACCGAACTCTACCAGGACATCACCTCGTCCGCAACCGCAGTCGGCACACCACAAGAGGACGTAGACCGTCTGATGGCGCAGGCAGCAGACAAGGCAGGCGTAGATCTACAACAAGATCTCCAAGAAGCTACACCGGCAAAGACGAAGGTTGGGCCCACCGAGCAAGAAGAGGAAGCATTTACCGAGAGGCTGCGTGCTCTGAGGAATTGAGAAACAGACAACAGTCCCTTGCGGGGTTCCTAGGGTGTATTGGAGTTTAGGCGCATCACATGCAAGCGAATTGTTGGAAAGACTAAGATAGTTTTCGAGTGAAATACTATGTTCATGACTACCACACTAGTCAAGGGTCAGACCGACCTTTACATGTGCATCACCTGGTCGCTCTGTTACACTTATCTCACACCGCCTCCACTCCTCACCCCATCTCCGCATCTTCAGTACACATCACCGGTCGCTAGTTGACGCCATCAAGTAGATAGTTACGACATCGCTTTCTTTCGGAAAATGGCTTCGGCTAACTTGCTGTCTCGCAGCCGCGATAGCCTACTGACCCAGGAGATACAAACAGCATGAGTCGTGAGTTGCTTGTTGAGTAGGCATGCCCTGGCTGCAGAAAATCAAGTTATCATGATCGATCCGACAAGTTTGGTAACTAAACCCTGCCCTTCAATTATCAGTTCCCCAGAAGCCTTCACGTCGTCAAGTACTCAGACTATAGTAAGAGAGCAAGTGTTGTGTCCAGCCCACCATACCCCGGATCGTCAGTCGTGACCAGCTCTCCACGCTGGACCCTGCATTTGATTCATCATGCCATGCAGCAAACACCCACATGTCTCAGCCGATGCTACCCATCGTGAACTTGGGTGTGAGCAACGAACGATGCAGGGCCCGATGACGTGCACCAATCAATGCGCGTGATACCCGTTCGGCGGCTCTTGCTCCGACGTCGGTGTTTGTTCGCCGGCGAACTTTCAGGTAAACTCCGATATCTTCGTCAGCGGCTGGTATCAAATCCCTCAACAACAACCAGCCCTGTGTTGACACTTACGACATCTCTGTCGCCCTGGTATTCAAACAGAGGGCGAACTACTAGAAGAGTCCTGAAGCGTGAAGCGCCCGCGAAAAGAGCACCGTCAAAACTTCAAACATTCCATGCAGCACACAAAGAGAGAGTTTATCAGTCATCGGAGGAAGCTGCAATGGGGGAAGAACAAGCCAGCGGTGTGAGAACACCCTCACCCGCAGAACACAGAGACCAAACCACCGTACCAAAAGTCGCAACACCCTCAATTGCGATCCCCAAGCCCAACCTCCCGCTCCCCACGATGCGCAAACCCACCACCTCGACCGAAACATCCCACGAATGGAACACATCCAAACTGGGTCTGCGTATCGGCGTCGACGCCCTCTCTGCCGGCTCCGCAGGCACACTCGTCGCACCCATCATAACCATGATCGACAAAGGAATCATCGAAAACGCCAGTGGGCGCAACAGCCTCGGCGCCAGCCTACGAAAAAGCGCAGTCGAACTCCTCGCGAAACCGCACCGCTTCCTCGCTAGCAAACCCTTCGTCTTGATCTTCAGTCTATACTTCGGTACCTACTTCACCGCCAACAGCATCGACACAGCGTCCGCGACGGTAAAGCCGACACAAGGTTTACAAGAGCAAACGAGCGGGACAAGCAAGTTCCTCGCTACAAGCACAACGAATCTAGCACTGTGTTTGTATAAGGATAACCAGTTTACCCGGCTCTTCGCTGCGCCAGGGAGTTCGCCTCGGCCTGTTCCTTTGCATACATTCGCCCTCTTCACCGTCCGCGATTGTCTTACTATTTTCGCTTCGTTCAACTTGCCGCCGCTGCTTGCGCCCAAGGTGGACGAGCGCATGGGCACGGAGGTTAAGAAGTATGTTGGTGCGCTGAGTGTAGCGCAGTTTGTTACGCCTGCTGCTGTGCAGCTTGTGAGCACGCCGTTGCATTTGTTGGGCTTGGATTTGTATAATAGGCCTGAGGCTAGAGTTGGTGGTGTGGATGGCAGGGCGGGGAGGGTGCTGAGGGATTGGGCGAAGAGTGCTGCGGCGAGGATTTGTAGGATTGTGCCGGCTTTTGGCGTGGGTGGTGTGGTCAATACTAAGGTTAGGAAAAATATGATGGGTAGGCTTGAGGGGTAGGGTCGTGGCTCAGGATGGGTACCACTTGGAACAGCTCACAATGTAAACGGGCATTGGATAAAAGAGATGGAAGCAACTCGTCTCAAGCATTATGTGGCGTTAGGTTTTCGGGTTGGAAGACTCTCATCTCATCTTACAGCAACAGCATGGCATGGCGTTATGGCATATCAGCAACGAATCAATGCAAAGAACAACTAGAGGATTTCACGAAGTGTAGTTCTTCGTACACTCTACTCATCCCACCAACCTTCTTCTGTACCAGTTCAATCTCGCGTCAATTTTCTTCGGGTAAGCCGTTCATGCTGCACTAACATCTCGACATGCATCAATGTCTTCCTTCCATGCTTGCACCCCGCCATATCTCACGGAATAAGATCGCATTAGTCCATGACTCCTGTCTTCCGTGACATCATCGTCGATCCAAAAGCTCAGATCACAGATCTCGAACGTTAGGCCCACAGGCCTATTCATGGAATGTGCGGGTGCATGGCAATCTCGGTTCCTGAACATCGCGTGCTCGCACGGACACCTTGGTGAAACTGACCACGCGATTGTACATGGGAATTTAACCGTTGGGTTTCCCAATACTTGGCGGTGGCTGCTGCTAGTGCGCCGTTGAATCCGTTTTGGTTTATGTAGTCACGAGCGAGATGAGAGAGGCGTGCAGACGAGGGAAAAGCAAAGACGTGATCGAAATAGATTGACGTAGGAGAATCACTGGGCGGGCATGCATGGAGAGCACAACAGCACAGGAGTTCAGACATTACATTCCATAGCAAAACACTCTGAATAACTATGCTGGTGGGTATCAAAAGACTTACGCCTTCTCATTCCCAATGCTCGCGCTGCCGCCCCCTCTAGCCTCAGCGAGAAGTTGCGTGCCAACAACCTCCCCATTACTCTTGCTCTTGAACACGCCAGAAATAGAGTAAAGACCCATGAAAGGCTCGTACACATACTCTTCCTCCCAGACCTCTTCGCCCTTGTAGGTCACGCTCTCGTTGAACCCGTTAAACCGCATGTTCTTGAGGTAATCACCCACAACGGTGGTCGCAGAGATAGTACCAGAGTTATCGAGGATCTGCTCTACGATATCCCCGTTTTGAGCGAGGACACGGCGTTTGTTGGTGTTGCCTTCGAAGTTGTTGATGGAGTAAAGGATGTTATTACGGAGGTCCCATTGGTGGAAGTCGAGGTCGCGTTTCGCTTTGGCTTGAGCAGAGGTGTCATTACCTCCTCCAGTAAGGCCACCGGCGACGTCGCCAACAAGACCAGCAGTGTCGTTGATGATGGAGCCAAGTCCGTTTCCGAGCTCGGCGATCACAGGGTTGAGGTCGATGCTATCGAGCACGTCGCTAACCATGTGGACGAGGTTACCGAGGCGGGCTTCGAGGTAGACTTTTGCGGTGACGTTCTGGATTAGGAGGGTGACTTTGTCGATGGAAAGGTCGACTCCCGCGTTGAACTGCAGCAACTGGAGGACCTGGGCATCGAGGTTGATCTTTGCGGTGAGGTTGTCGACACCGATGAAGATCTCGCCGACGTGGACAGAGGCGTTGAGGAGGACGTCTGGGACGGGGCTCAAGGCGGAGATGTTGGATGAGGATGTGTTTTCTGTTTCGTAGAGAACGGCGGATGGGTCACCGTCGTCTCGCACATCGAGCTTGTAGCCACTGTAGCCATCGGATGCAGATTGGCAGACAGCAAGGAAAGGCAGCGAAAGGAGTGTGATGGTGGGAAGTATCGACAACATCTTGACTGGTGGTTAAAAGAGAGACTGGCCGAAAGTCGACGTGCTGAACAAAGAGCGAAGGACAGGAAGCAACAACTCGATGGATGTCGTCAATCGACAAGAAAGACGGGCGGGCACAACGGTTAACACTACCATCGGGTGGAGTAGTAGTGAGTTGCTTGCAAGGATCATGTGCATAGCACCATCTTCCATTACCCGTCATCCACCTACGCTAGCAAGAAAAACGGAAATTAAGGAGATCCATTCCCACACCTGCGATTCGATAGAAAATCCAGAAAACCGGCACTTCGCATGCGAATCAGGATTTCTACATGTTCATGCCTTAGCCATGATCCAGATGGTGCGCTCCAGCCTTGTAGAAACCCCTGTTTAGCTGCATAGGGGGCTTTACCCGAGATTACCATTATGGGAATCCTTGCAATACTCCATGTGCATGATTGCCGTGCCCGCTGATTTGCAACGGGATTCCATCGCTTTAAACGGTACGTGGGTCGTAGTTTGCTGATACTTGTACGGCTGCCTCGCTCGTTAATATTGCCATTGTTGTTGCTGTCGTCGCCGCTCACGCCAACATGTCGTTCTCTATCCGCCTACTGCTCATCAGCATTTTCCTTACTTTCGCTACACTCATTTCTGCGCAGTCGTCATCGGGCGTTCCTTCGACCCCGGCACCTACAAGCAGCACCCCACCGCAGGGTAACGGAACTACTACAAGACCGCCAGAGGTTGCGCCTACTGGATCTTCGCCCCCGGATGTGCTTCTCCGCGTCCCTGAACTGCACGTTGGAAGGATTGAACTAGGTGTCGAGAAGCTTCAGGCAGATCTTAACCTTAACGCCAAGGTCGCCGGTCTTGTCCAGATCAATGCTGGTGTCCAGGTCGCCGTGGAGAAGGTCAACATCACTATTGCTGATGTAGATGTTGAACTCGAGTTGATTGTACGATTGGGCAACCTGGTCTCTATCGTTGAGCGTGTCTTTGACTCTTTGGACCTGAACCCTCTCTTGATCGGTTTGATCGGAAACGTCACCAACTTGGTCGGAGAAGTGATCGGGGCAGTTGACGGCCTTGTAAGTACTCGAATGGCTCAATGTCAGAACGTAACTAACAGCATATAGCTTGGATCGATTACGCAAAACGGAAAGACGCTCAACTTCTTGGTCGACAACCTTGGAAACATCGTCCAAGAGGTCGTGGGAAGTGGCGGAGACGCTCTTCAGCAGATTGTTGGAAACTTCAAGGTAAGCATACTCTTATACCGTACCAAGTTACAACCACTAACCCAAGTCACAGCTCAACATGACCGAAGTCGCTGGAAGCGCAAAGCAGGTTGGCCAGGGAATGACACAGAAGACCTTCAACTACGAGCCTCTCAATGCGCTCGTCGACATCGTGACCAACACCGCTGGTCAAGTCGTATCCGCGGTTGTGCAGAAGAAGAACAGTGGTGGTGGCAGTGGCGGCGGCTCATCGTCAACAGCTTCAGCTTCCGGTACTCCCATGCCGGTTAGCCTGCCTGTCGCCTCAGCTACTAGCTCTGCGTAGGCGTATATAGTGTCGCGATAATGGCAGAATCTAATGCATTCATAATATCGTTCATACGGGGTTTGTGGTGCGATGTGTAGTTGTGGAGAGTGATTAATGAAGTTGAGGTGGGTGCGCGAACGACGTGATGCCTCAGCAGGTGAGAGGGATGACGTGGGACGCTATGACCAGGTACGCAAGCTTAGACGCCAGAGGACTATCCTCCTTTGACCAATATCTTTGCGCAATGTCATTGTGTACTTGATTCACTGGACAAAAGAGATGTCATGGAGACCACCGATTTAACTAAGGAGAACGCGCTATAAGAGATTGTCCACTTGAGTTCCTCTCTTCCAGCCTACTAATCACTGTCAGACTCATCTTCGTCCTCGCTCTCGCTCTCGGAAGAGCTCGATTCGCTTTGCTTCTTCGACTTGGACTGCTTCTTCTTCTTCTTCTTTTTCGTTTTCTCTTTTGGCTCCTTCTGCTGCTTTCTCAAACCATCTCTCGATGCTACGAAGTCAGCATCCCCCATTGTCTCGGTCATGTAAACACCGAACTCTTTAGCGGTGTTGGCAATCTTTTCAAACTCAACTTTGCCCACGCTTATCTTCACATCTTTGCCGTCATCATAGTCTTCGCCAGTCTTTCGGCTTCGTGCGCCGAACTCGGCCATAGCAACTGCGGTGTGGAAAGCGTTGCGGATCTGTCGCCCATTCCAGCGTGCTTGCTTGTTCTCTTTCCAGTGCTTCTTGGCAAACTTCTCAATACCTTCCGCATCCACGGTCACGTTGGTGCGACCGCTACTTTCGAGCACAAACTTAGTTTGATCGATGAAAGTTTTCCACACTTTGAGCGTGGTGTCTTTGTCGAAGTTGGGGTCTGGGGTACTCATGTTAGTGCGATTGTTGAGACAAGTTAGACAATGACTTACAAAACAGCGAGATATGCACCCGGGATGTAAACGCCTCGTCAAAAGTACCAACGCGATTTGTCGTCAGGAAGAGTAGACCCTTGTAGTACTCCAGCATACGGAGAAATACCGATACGATACTGTTGCGCTGAAGATCCTCAAGTTTTCTTTTGGCGAGGAAGACATCGGCTTCGTCTAGTAGCATCACGCAATCCCAGCGGCTAGCCAGCGTGAAGTGCTTCTTTAAGTTCTTCTCGACGTCCTCTGCCGAGCTTCCGAGGTCGCCGCATGTGATAGGATAGAGCGGCTTCTCCATCAGATCAGCAATGCATTCGGCAGTGGCAGTCTTGCCAACTCCAGGAGCCCCTAAGTCTGGTAAGTCACATATTTCGACACTTACGAAAGGGTGCTTACCGTGAAGAAGGATGATGAGGCCTTGTCCTTTGCCTCGAACCAAGTCCATGTCATTCTCCGAACTCCCCCCAACGGCTTGTGAACCTTTCTTACGGAAGTGCTCTCGGACCTGAGACTCGAGAATGTGTTTGTGGTCCTCCGACAGGACCAACTTCTCGAATCCTCTGTTCCTGTCGATCTCTTGTGGTGGCTCGAGATGCTTGACATTCACATGCACTGCCAAGTATTAGCGCAAATTTGACACTTTGATGGAGTTAGATACTTACCCCACTCACGCGAACGTAGCTTGTAAGCAAAGACGCGGTAATGGCAAATGCTGAAATCCGAAGGCTCTATGAGACCAGCTTTTGGCGTGTCTGACAGCGGATTGAACACGGGCTTCTCATCAATATATTCCTGATAGGCTGCAAGATCTGTCATTTGATCATGCACAACCGTAGTTCGGTGGTAGCAGGAAAGGCTTGCGTAATTGCAGCCTGTTCCAAGTGGGCAATCGCTAGTCTCTGATATGTCAAGCTCTTCTGGTTCCTGGTACGATGGAATCTCACCAGGGTTCGTACTAAGGTAACTCTTCATGTCAACGATAACTCTGTCGTTGAGCTCCTCCCGAGTGCGGAGCTCGAGACCCTTGCAATCCACATAAGGCGCCGTGGTAGCTGTAACGGCTTTGACGAACTTTTGGCCTCGCTTTTCGAGCGAATCAAGTGCAGAAGCCGCATACTCGATAGGAACAACCTCAAGATCTGAAATATTTCGTTCGCCGTTGTATGGAGCAATCACAATCCGCCGTCGTACAGGAACCATTCTGGAGCCGTTGAAGTCCAGATAATATGCATGGATGCAGAATGGGTTGACACCATTAATGGGCTCAATCCTGTCTTTGGAGTTCGATAGATTGACAGGAGATGGCAAGACTGGGGCGGGAAGTTTGGACATGATCACCCTTCGACCACCAGCTGTCATGAGAACCCTCATGCCGAGCCGATCCTGGGTCTCGGTCTCGTCCAAGCTCGCCAATCGTTTGGTAATTACGAGGTCGCCAGTTTGGAACACATGCCATAGATCACAGAACCGCACTCTCTTGGCCTTACGCTCTCGATATTCCATGTGGCCAGGTATCAGATAATCGTCCAGCAGGCTCTTGAAGCATCCAAAGGACCTCTCAACCTCGGCCAAGTTTGGCCAGCCTTTCATGTTCTCCCCTGAGCACCCGTTCTTCTCGTCGAAAAGATCAAGCTCTTTGAGAACAATATCCCAATCTTCTGTCGTGATGGCATCAGGAGCATTCTTGAGCTCCTGTAATACAATGTGCCCAGGTTTTTCTATCAAGGCGGGAATGACATGAGGCCATTGTGTCTTGGCTCCAGCGTCTACATCTTTGGCTTCTTCGGAATTCTTCGAATCGGTGGCCAATTCTGCACCCTTCCTTCCGCGTTGATTGACGATTCTAGTCAGCGCTGAAACCACTTCAAACATGACACTCAGTATCTCTTCCTTGTTTTGAAGTAGAGGTTTGAAAGGCCGTAGCACGATATCGTCTAATGAGCCATTGTTGCCACCAAGGTACTTCCGGAACAGATATACCACCCCTTCGGCGTTGAAACGAACTCGGTTTGGAAATTGCTTGTTCTTAGCCTTTTCGATTTCATCCTTTAGCCTTTTCTCGTCGATGGATTGAGGTGTGCGGTCCGAGGCTGGATCGAATGCGACTTCCTGTTCATCAGCACCATCGTCTTCCAAGGCGTTGGACTGCGTCTTTCGTCGTCGAAACCTCTCACCCTTCTGCACTTCTGGTTCTCCAACGAAAACGTCGATTTCGTGAGTCTCGCTTACTTTTGGTGCGCCAGGTACGGGCTTCAGCCCTTTCGAGAGTTGGAATCTGAGCTCGGGCTTCAGATAAATTTCCTCTTCATCAGGCGGTGGTGGAGGCTCGTCTACACCATCTATTATTCTGCGCAGTTTCTTGTCAAAAGCCGTGGTTCTATCCTCTAGGAGTGAAAGTCTTTCTTCCAAGATTGTCGTATACTGGTGAGACTGCTTTACACGTTTCGGTACTACTTTGATACGCGCTTTCATGTTGTCGTACTTTGTTCTGTATCTTTCAAGATATTCATCGATATCCGTACCGTCACTGAGGTCTCCTTTGTCGGCGTCTGAAACATCGTTTACGTTATGTTCAGGTTTGATGGAAGCCTTGCCTTTGTCGTCCGTGGATGCTTTCGCAACGCTGGCATCCTCCGATTGCGATTTGTCGCCCTTCGTCTCTGGAGCCGGTGCTGCTGAGCTCTCGTCGAGCTTAGTAGGTGTCGCATCGCTGCGAGACTCGACTACATTGTCTGAAGACATGGTAGGGACTTCTCCGGACGCGCTAACCTCAACTGACGTATATTCAGCAACTGAAAGAGCAGAAGGAAACGTGCGACGTACTCGGTTCATTTTGCTCATCACTCGCGGAGAGTACCACTCCTGAGTCATCAGAGCCAGTCATTGCAGCGTCGACTTTTCTTCCAAATCGATGAATGATATGGAACGATCTGAGTTGGTCGCAAGTTAGAAAATGTTTTTCTTTGATCTTCAAGACAGAATGATACTTAAAGTGAATGCGCTGGTGTGAGACCTACCTTTTAGCACATAAAACTGGCCTGGGTTGTTGAGCGAGCTTTCACGAAGCGCCGCATACAAAACCTCTACGATGAAACACACAGCGTACAGAGGGCACGGGTGGGAGGTGTTCATCAGTGCGGGATCAACTCATGTCCGTACCTGTTAGTAAGATGGCTTACCCAGTAACGCCTTATCCTGCACCATCGTACCGAGAGAGCAGAACCCGAGGTCCAGATGACGCCTTGCAGTCGCTACATGCATAAACAGCGCAAGGTTCAGTCTAATGACCGGTGCCGCGAGTGATGCCTACCTATTTGGTCAGTTCCCGACCACCCCCAATTATTGCACCAATTGTTCGATTCCAATTATAGTTGTGAAAGGTCTAGAGGACGTGAGAGTGGCGTTCATCGAGCATACGTCGGCGAGCCCTTAATCTTTAGCCATTGGGGGCGATCTGGTGTGATTGGAGAAGACGCGGAATCGGACTGCGTCTGCGTGGCATGGTTTCAAGCCTATCTAAACGCCAATGACAGAATGCCGTGCTGACATGTGCAGATGCACGAAGTACCAGAATGCTGGCGGGTAAGCAACCGTGTTCCAAGAGTCGTTCAGAGAGATCATGAACCAGTTCGAGATGTTGAAATACAGCAGTCGTACGCTCTGTATATCGAATCCGCCTACGAGCTATTGTATGATCAGACGCATAGAGCCAGGCCGTTAGCGGCACCTGTAGGTAGCCTGCAATAAGCACGACGCAGGCAGCCATATGGCCCCCAAAAGGATTCCGCATCGATGCTGTCAGCTGAATGCAGTCGCCGGAATTGGACGATAGATGCGAACCGCCAGACTGTGGGTGTAGTACCCGCAGACCTCATTGGCGAGGCGCGCGTGTCAGCCTTGGAACTTTCAGCCTCGTCGAAAAACTCAGGTATCTGCCTGCGCCCACAAAGTGGGCGCTGAAGTACGCGTCCAAAGCTCATGGCATGAATGTATAGGCGATTTGTCTGCGCGTTCGACGACCACAAGTTGTGCGGTTCTATGCAGCCAATTCTTTGCTGCCTCTAGGGGACCATGCCGCCCCACCAACGGGCCGATGACGGGTTCCCCACTCCTTCCTTGCAACCAATATCAGTCGACTTCATCGAAAACCGAGATGCAGGATTCCGCAACGCCGAAGGCGAGCTGCCATGCAATTTCGATCCTAGCTCTCAAAAATTCGTAGCCCCCCTTTTCGCTTTTGGTGGGGCGGTGCTCGACCACGAAGAAGAAGCATTACGGGAGAGCAAACTAAGAGTAGTTGCAACGACGGAGAGCTTCGCCCACGCCCTCGCAGCTTTGAAAACGAAGAAGAAATCCAAAAACCAGGCGATAGCAAACTTTGACTTGAACTCTTGTCATGACTGGGAAGAGATCACTGAGCACATACACCTGGTGGTTGAAAACTCCCACCAGGATGATACGACATGGGGACATATACGCCGCGCATTTCGACGCGTTGGAGATAACGCGACGTCTATACAGTCTTTTGTCGGCCTGCTGCCTGATGGAGAATATAAGACCCTTTGTGGAGGGCTAACATTGATCTTGACGGTCCGTGACTTTCAGTCAAATACACCACATGTCGGGAGCTAACACCACGACAGGCCATGACGCAACATGCTGAAATCCGCGAGAAGATGGCGGAACTGTTGAAAGAAGTGCCCGAAATCGTCAATCAGTGCGAGCAATACCAGACACTCTATCCCGGACGTAATACCATACAGTTGTGTGTGAACGACATCTACATCAATCTCCTTCTGGCCCTGGAGGAAATCCTCAGATGGTATACGCAGTCTTCCTGGAGTGAGTAGACCAAATCATTACCACGCAATTTACAACTGCGTCTAGATTCAGTACTGACGTTCTAGAACACACCAGGGACAGTCTCTCGAAGAACAGTAACTACTCAAAGGCGATCGATGAATGCCTCAAAGGTATTCGCCAGTCCAAAGTTCGCTTCCTAGAGGAGACTCAATTATATTCGGCCTGGGTTCAACGAGCCACACTCTCTACAGTACTCCAGACCAACGCCCAAAACTTTGAAACCAATTCAACAATGCACGGCATTGATGGACGTCTGATTGAGTTTCAGGCGGAGTACAAAGACACGATGAAGACATATGGGAAAGGGATGAACGCACTCATGGAAACTCTAGATGACGTGGTGAAAAATGCCAAATGTGAGCCCTCAGTCTGAGCTTTGAACCCCCGTTCCGCGACACTGACTTTAGAGAGGGCATGACGAGAAACTGCAATATGCCGAAGTCTTGAGACAGCAAGAACTGAACGTCGCAAGTCAGCGTAAGTCAGAAGTTTTCTATGGCACGTCGCATGCTGACTCGTGCTTAGAACAAAGGATAATGGAGCTTGAAGAGCAAGTCGCCAAGGCAGCGACCACTCCGCAGCAATTCATGAAAGAACTGCGACTAAACCCGGCCAAGCATACTCATGTATCAGAAGTCCCTATGGTACGCAAGCATGGACTGAATAGTTCAACAAAATTCCAGAACCGCGCCGGCTGGGTGGGCAATACCACCGGATTTCGAGATTGGCTGGGAGGACCAGAGAAATCACAGATACTGTGCGTCCAGGGCCGCGGCGCATTCGAGAAGACTTCGCCGCTGAGCTTTCTCGTATCGCTTCTTTACGAAAAGCTGGAACAGGCGCCGCGCACGCTGGTCCTTCTCTTCTTCTGTGGACGAAGCACCGTAAGCTCTGGACCTGCAATCATGGCAAGAGCATTATTCGTACAGCTACTCGCACTGTGCGATAAACATGGGCACACTGGCGAACGAGGGCGGCCTCTACTCTCATTTCTTGGACACGACGAAAAGGCGCAGATGAGAGAGCTGGACTTTGAGACGTACACAGACGCGCTCGCGCACCTTCTACGAGATCTACGGAAGGAGTATAGCGCTATGTTCCTCCTGATCGACGGCGTTGAGTTCTACGATTCGGAGTGGGAGGATGAGATGGATGGTTTCGTTAAGAGCATAAAGAAGCTGGTCAAATCGTTCAACAAGCCAGATGATGAAACATCTGGTGGTGTTCTAAGGGTGCTTTTGACAGCTTCCTCATGGTCGAGGCGCTTCTCGCCTCCTCCAAGATCACTGGCCGTACTTGATGTGCCCGAATATATAGATAGTTCTCTGGACGGGTTTGAGAGGTTTACGTAAGTAGGCAATTCGTGTAGTTTTGGGCGATGGCGATGGAAACCTCTTTTCGTGCCGTGAGCCTCATTCACTCCCACTGTTCCTCGTTAGTTTTTATTGATTTCTTCTTCAATTCGCATGCCACACTGACCTTATCGCTCATAACCGTGTTGCATCTAGACGCACACAGCCTCGTCGCATACGTCGAGAGCGGTAGCACCTCGGCAACTTTCTCAGAAGCGCTCGTCTGTCCAAGCAGCGCTAGATGTCGGAGTGATGATGTGGCTTTACAGCTTGAGAATCCGGGTAGGCACTTAACTCTCACCCTCCATCCGTCTCAACCACCCCATAGATATGCGGCATTTTGTCTCTCTTGTTCGCATTCAACCATTCGCAGGTCGGTTCCCAATCTGCTTCCAACTCGTCCTCGTCAAGAGAAAGCGAGTAGGCTTCCTCATATGGTAGGGTTTTGTCTTTCTTTAGTTGAATTCTCATAGTGGTTCGATCGAGTATGTCCTTGCGCTGTTTTGCAGCCTGTTGCTGGAAGGCTTGGTAGAAGTCTTCGCCGTACTCGTTGAGATCTAGCCATACGTTCAGAGTAGTCGCGTCCCATATAACACTCAATCTAATTCTATCAGTAGTTTTCTTAGGATCTGCATCTCGAACCGGCGCGCTGGGGCCAACGTTCGGTCGAAGAGGATGTGGATGTTCAATGTGCGTGTCGAGAACCGTAGGCGCCGGTGAAGAGTGTTGGCCCTCCATATCCCTTGCGTAAGACTGCTGCCGGGAGATGAGGGGCTCTACCAAATGATGTGGGTTGTATCGGTCGTCTTGACGGTGGATGGAACTTGCGCCGTCATAGGTCACTGCCGAACGATGAAAAGATGCTGGAGGTGGTGTCGGGGCAAGGGGACGGAAATCTTGCTTGTAGTTCTGGAAAGTTGAAGGTTGCCGAGCTGGGGACTGAGGGACGATAGTAGGCGTGTATTCTAGCAGAAGCGCATATCTAGTCAGCCAAAGCGCATAACCCACTTATCGCTACAACGTATACACACCTGCAATCTCTTGACCCGAATCGTCGTAGCCAAGAAGGATGTCTATGTCAAGAGTTTCTTTTGATACCACGTAAAACAAAGTTTCGTGTGTGGAGTTGGAATGAGGTTGGCGCCATGTGAGCTCAATGGCGCATGAGACTGGTACTAGTCGAAGTTCTCCGGTTACGCGGTGTGGCACTTCCACGTGGGTCAAACCGGCCTGACTTATATTGAAGGAGTCTTCGAGGTGGCGTCTGCCAACAACGTCTCCGCGTATCACGCTGTGCTTGATCGAGGCCGGTCTCATTCGGACCTTGTAGTCTACGACCTTAGTGCCGACGAGAGTAGGAAGCAAGATGTATTCTACCGCGCTGTTTTCGTCCCTGGTAGAGTGAGATGTTACTGATGATGCTGTAGCAGGAGGGCTTATCGGATATGATGTCGAGGGAAAGCGGCGTGGCGGTCCCTGGCGGGGAGGCGCGGTTCCAGTGTGGTGCGATCCATGTGAAGATGGCGAAACACGTGGTGGGAATGTGACATTGATGTTGTTCCCGACAGGTAAGGGAGACTCGTTGCGCTTTGGTCTTGATCGTATCAGGGATGAGCATACTTCCTGGAGGGTCCTCTCCCGTTCTTCACAGCACCTAGTAAGAATCTCTACGGCCTGCTCTGGGCTATGGTCGACCAGCTCCGCGACATATTCACGTATATGATAGCGGTCCATGATGTGCAGTCGAGGCGACCGGGCTGCATCTAGGTGGGGCTTACTGATGTCGCACGGACGGGGTTTGGGACGCTGCGGAAAGCAGCGCTAGCTAAGGCGCAATCGTCCATTGTCGCTCATGGTTGCCGTGGCGTGAGGAGGTAAGGAACTGATGATCCTGCGAAGCGCACTGCGTGTAGCACGAGTCTCGCGGCAAGGCAGAAGGTGATGTGCGCGCAGGCCGAAGACTTGCACAGGAACCAAGAAGCGCTTATCGTTTCATCGGTATCCAGGGTCATGATTCGCTTGAAAATACGCTTTGCCGTTGCGAGTTGACCGGAGCTGCACGTTCATACAGGGCTGTGAGAACATCATCCAGCAACCTTGAGGCAGCCGTATGCAGCCTGCAGCACACCGGTCAAGGCTTTTTCGAACCCCGCTCGACTGGCGAGAGGCTTGTCCCAATCACAGCTCCACAGCCTTCCTTCATCGTATGTGCTGAGGCATCCGAGTGCGGTCAATTCCATAGGTAGCGTCCTCATAGCTGATGTTATCCAGCAAATATTGTGGGCGCCGTCGAACATGTCGCAAATGTCTACTACTAATCGTACGTCGAAGGAAGTCCAAGTCATGACGGGAGTAGCGTCTGTCAGCCGGAATATCGCCAGCGGTGATGCTCTTCAAATCAACGGCACTGTGGCAGACAACGTCTACAATCTCAGCATGTAAGTCGAGCTCCGCTACAATGGACTGAACACGCTCCTGACAATTCCAAGCAATACTTTAATCGTAAATTATCAGTATGGCTGGGATCCGAAGATCGTTCCCCCTGTGAGCCAATCAGCATTACCGAGTAGATGCATAGCGATGACGGACGTACGCAAGGTGTTGAAAAGTTCAGCTCCGTCGAAGGTGTCCGCAACGTTCACTGCACAACTCCCAGTAAGAGCACCCAGCGTGCGCATTTGAAAGGTGGCGGCTGACGACGACTAGATACGCGCTTCGGATCGGTCTGTCCACCAAGGACAAAACTTGATCCTCAAGCCTAGCAAGAATGATAGTCGGCACCCAGTCTTCGCCATGTTCCGACCCGATATCGCAAACAATTACATCGCGGAGAGAATCGTGCGTCGGCTGAGCCTCGTAGTATACAGGAGTTCTTCGTTCACGATAGAAGCTAGCTCAGACCAGATCCACCTTCCGCCCACGAATGATTATGTCAGTCTCGCCTGCTACCCGGAAGAAGAGAAAGATGACTTTACCATATATCGCTTCTATGTTGTTAAGCATCGCCAGTTTGATCTCCTCTTCGGTGCTGGCTCGGTCAGGTCTGGCTAAACCGACAAGCGAAGAGACAAGGAGCGGCAATTGGAGTTAGGTGCAACCTCCACCGTCTTCCCGTCCGGGGTTCCAGGGAAGACGTGGCATTATGCACAAGTAATGTCAGCTTTGGGCCGCTCCCTTCAGAAAGATGTCCATCCTCATTGGACGCCAATGGCAGTGCGAACTTGGAGTTCTTTTGGGGTGCATTTATGGCTGCAGATCGCTTCGCGGGGGCGAATCAGTGGTCGCTATCTTGCATGCATGCTGCGAACTGTCACCGGACCAACCGTACTTACGGTCGACTCGCAATCGACACTGCGCCCCAATAACGCTCTGGGTAAGTTCAGCTGGCCATTAAGTGCTGTCCCGCGCCCTCTGAGCTGTCTGCGCAATCTCTGGTCGTTTTGCCCTTCTCCAAAAGAATTTCAACTGATACCTTTAACATCATGGTGAGTTCACTTCGTTCCGAGGAGTGACCAAACTAAGTTTCGTAATAGGCTGAAGTATTGGCTGCGATCCAAGCTACGACTGCACTCGTGGAGCAAGCCTGTCGATTTTTCGGCCGCCTCCGTCAGGCAAACGATCGCCAGAAAGGTCTTCCAGAGGTCCTGGCTCGACACCGTAGCGAGCTCGACAGCATCAAAGCGATCGTCGGCATGATAGAGGACGTGGATGATCTTCAGACACCCAGTGTCGCTAGACAGCTAGTTCGATTGGAAGCCATCTCAAGGAAGCTGGCCGCCTTGATCAAGACGATTGATGTGACGACCACCAAAAAGATAATCCAATTTACACGCCAGCTAGTGGATGGCTCAGCAGACGAGAAGAGGCTGAATGACATCATGGGCGAGCTGGACCAAGTGAAGGCTACGCTTCTATTGTCCATCAAAGTCGCCCACGTAGGGGTGATACGCACCATGGTAAGACTCCCATTTTACATATAACCTAAAACATATGTTGACACCTGATACCATATTTGCAGGACAAACAAGCTGTGGCGAATGCAGAAGCCATAGAGCGAATCGATGAGTCATTCAAGGAACTCGTCCAGGATTGGAAGGGCCTCCGAATCGCACGATTGCTGAAGGGCCGACGTGCGTCAAGTATGTTCTCGACTGGTCATGTCGTACCCAGGCTAATGACGGTAGATGATGGTCATGTACCATTGACTCTTGCGGATCTCAAGGCTCTCGACAAGGAGGTTCATGGTGATGACGAAGATAGCGAAGACGAGACGCTCGTCGATGACTCAGAAGTATCGCCACGAGAAGTTCCCGTCAAGACTGAACGCATTGTTATCAACAATGCATCTCGTGGTTACGCTGTTCAGGTCAATGCTCCGCTGGATACAGATATATATAAGCATTTGAGCAGTCTGAGAATCCAGGACAATGTGGCCGAGGAGCAGAGTGTGCAGATCAACTATGGCACGACGACCAAGTCGTTGTCGATACTTCTCGAGCTCGCGCGACTAAGGCAGGTGAGCGCGCGGTGAGAGATTGCTGTGAGGGTTCGGGGCTGGATATGGCGGCCCTATGTTCGTCTCGTATGGTCTGAGAATAGCGCGATGATAATGAAATGATACCTCATCCATACAAGGCGAAATTGAGATAGTGGAATGCGACTGATAAAAGTACATAGGTCGTGGTTACGTGAAAGAGAGTCACGCGTACCTCCAACGCGTTTGCGCTAGTGGCCCGGCGTAACATTAATCCGACCATGGCCAGCTTCGGAAGCTTCCACGCCGTCACAGGCGTCAACACCAAGGTGCACCAGTCGCCATCGCTATCTCACCCACAACTTCTACTCCACCGTCTTCGCCGTCGCTCGCCACACGATTTGCTTAGATATAAACCCACCTCATACAACACCCTAGCCTAATCACCGCCGCCGGCGCCCGCCACAGCCATGGCGCTCGATACCTTCTTCCACAACAAGATCGAGACGATGAAGCTCGAGATCATACAGGGACAGGCCAAGCTACGACGACTTGAGGCTCAGCGTAATGACTATAACTCAAGAGTACGGTTATTGCGAGAAGAGCTCGGCCTTCTGCAGCAACCGGGATCCTACGTTGGAGAGGTGGTAAAGGTCATGGGTACCAAGAAGGTGCTCGTAAAGGTTCACCCTGAAGGCAAATACGGTATGTATAACCTCAAAATCAGGCCGAACCAAGACTAACCAAAGCAGTCGTCGATGTCGCGGACAGCGTCGATATCAGCAAACTCACTGCCGGAAAGCGCGTCACTCTCCTCAGCGACTCCTACAAGCTCGAGAAGCTCCTTCCCTCGTCCGTCGATCCCCTCGTCTCGCTCATGATGGTTGAGAAGGTGCCCGACAGCACATACGACATGATTGGTGGTCTGGATCAGCAGATCAAGGAGATCAAGGAAGTCATTGAGCTGGGTCTGCAACATCCCGAACTCTTCGAATCGCTCGGTATCGCTCAGCCCAAGGGTGTTCTGCTATACGGTCCGCCCGGAACAGGAAAGACTCTGCTTGCGCGTGCGGTTGCACATCATGCCGACTGCAAGTTCATTCGTGTGTCTGGTAGCGAGCTGGTACAAAAGTACATTGGTGAGGGTAGTCGCATGGTCCGTGAACTCTTCGTCATGGCTCGAGAACACGCACCTAGCATTATCTTCATGGACGAGATTGACAGTATTGGATCAAGTCGAGTGGAGGGAAGCTCAGGTGGTGATTCCGAGGTCCAGCGAACCATGTTGGAGTTGCTGAACCAGTTGGACGGTTTCGAGCCAACCAAGAACATCAAGATCATCATGGCGACCAACCGACTTGACATCCTAGATCCCGCCCTCCTGCGACCCGGACGTATCGACCGAAAGATAGAGTTCCCCCCGCCAACTGTCGAGGCGCGTGCCGACATTCTGCGCATTCACTCTAGGAGCATGAACTTGACGCGTGGCATCAACCTGACAAAGGTCGCGGAGAAGATGAATGGATGTTCAGGTGCTGAGCTGAAGGGTGTGTGCACCGAGGCTGGTATGTACGCCCTCAGGGAGAGGAGAGTGCACGTCACACAGGAGGACTTTGATCTGGCGACCGCTAAGGTGCTCAACAAGCACGACGACAAGGCGACCAGTTTGAGCAAGCTTTGGAAGTAGACCGTGTCTCATGGTCTTGCTACTGCACTGGCCTGCATTATGCATTGCTGGTGTTTACGTCGAGATTATGTACACCAAACATAGACGTACAGATCTTTGGTCTGAACAAATAATGACTACCGAACTTCAAGACTCCGATCATCGTTAACGTGGATCTCGCATGGTTATCTTGGGCGTGACGGCACGTCATTCTAGCGCGGAGGAACTCCCGTCGCAGGACCTAGCCCGCCATCTCCCACACCACCTCGCATGCACTGCAGATCGTGACCATCTTGATATCGCTTATCGCCTACCACAGCACAGTCACAACGGCTTCGATACTCTTATCGCGTGCGTGGACCACATGTGTGGACGCAGTACAACCATGGCGCCTGGAACTACCCCGCGCATCGTGGTGGTGTACCGTGGTCTGCGTGGTATTGCGTGAGCGGGAAGCCCGATTGCGCGACAAGGAACATTATAAGTCGTTACACTAGCCATGCAGTTTCCCAACCCACTGGCTCAATCGAATACCATTCCGTTAAAGATCTCCCATTCACTAAGTTCTTTAGCGACGCTAATGCTCACTGTTCCTCGCCACCTGTTACCTTGACTTAACTCGACTGTCTCTGTTTATTGCGATCTAGCTTAACCTCCGCTCTCACGCTCTTTGCGCTTACATGCCGCTTCAGAAAGCGAAAACGAATCATGGCCGACTCGCCAGTAAAGATGGATGAATCGCACAGTTACAAGGAGCCTTCAGCGCGAACCGTAGCAAGAGATGGAGAAGCGCCGGTGAGCGTTTTGGAAGATGGGTCGTTGGATCCCGTGTACGAAGCGAAAGCGAAGATGCTAAATAAGGCAATGCAAGACATAGGTATGGGGAGGTATCAATGGCAGGTAAGTACTCCACCATCAACACTGTCCCATCTATCGTGAATACATTTCGCACAGCCAACCTTTTCCACGTACCCATCCCTCATCTGTATCCGGCTCCATCCAACAAACTGACCTCTCCCAGCTCTTCATCGTGATTGGATTCGGCTGGGCAATGGACAACCTATGGCCGATAGTAACATCCCTAATCTTTACGCCCATCACCAATGAATTTCAACCTACACGCCCACCACTACTCTCTCTCTCGCAAAACATCGGACTTCTATTCGGCGCCGTCTTCTGGGGTTTTGGCTGTGATATCTTCGGTCGACGATGGGCTTTCAACCTTACCATTGGCATCACCGCTGTGTTTGGCATGATAGCAGCGAGTAGTCCTAACTTTGCTGCTGTTGGCACGTTTGCTGCTTTGTGGTCTGTTGGCGTAGGTGGTAACCTGCCAGTAGATTCCGCCATCTTCCTGGAGTTCTTGCCGGGGAGCCATCAGTATTTGTTGACTATTCTGTCGATCTATTGGGCCCTCGCGCAAGTCTTTGCTACACTCGTGGCGTGGCCGTTGCTCGGAAACCTCACCTGTCAGCAGACAGATACCAACTGCACGAGAGGAGAGAACATGGGATGGCGGTACTTCATGATCGTAAGTACTGATCTTCATCCTCTAGGAAGTACTCGTTAACACTTTTCAAGGTCATGGGCGGCGTAGCACTACTAATGTTCATCGGCCGCTTCGTATTCTTCACAATCTTCGAGTCACCAAAGTTCCTCATGGGCAAGGGCAGAGACGCAGATGCCATCCGCATCGTCCACGAAGTCGCCCGCCGCAACGGTAAAGAGTGCACCCTCACACTAGAAGAGCTTGAATCATGCAACAACTACGCGCTACCCGGTGCGACCCAGCAGACCGGTACTGCCACCGCAGCAGTCAAGCGTAAACTCCAAAAGCTGGACAGCTCCCATATCAAAGCTCTCTTCGCAACCAAGAAACTCGCTTTCTCAACCAGCACCATCACACTCATCTGGGCATTCATCGGCCTTGGCTACCCGCTCTACAACGCCTTCTTACCCTATATCCAAGCCACTCGCGGCGCCGACTTCGGCGACGGCTCAACCTACATCACCTACCGTAACAGTCTCATCATCGCTGTACTCGGCGTACCAGGATGCATCCTCGGTGCAGTACTCGTCGAAACACCGCACATCGGCCGCAAAGGCACTCTAGCCCTCTCCACAGTCCTGACTGGCGTCTTCTTGCTGTGTTCCACCACGGCGCTCACTTCCAACGTCCTCTTAGGATGGAACTGTGCGTACAACTTCATGAGCAACATCATGTATGCGGTCTTGTATGCGTATACTCCTGAGATCTTCCCAACGAAAGATCGCGGTACGGGAAATGCTATTACGGCGAGTGCGAATCGGGTGTTTGGTATTATGGCGCCCATTGTCGCCATGTTTGCGGATCTGGAGACTAGTGCGCCGGTTTACGTGAGTGGAGCGTTGTTTATTGCGGCAGGGACTTTGGTGCTTATATTGCCGTTTGAGAGTAGGGGGAAGGCGAGTATGTAGAGAAAGAGACTGATTGCATGTTTGGGGCATGGAAGATACATTGCATAAATGCCTTCTTGCAGTTAGAACCGACATATACAACGAAATTACGAATGCAAATACACATTCTCTACGAGCTCGACTCCAGCCCGCACAATACCCCATTGATCTCATCGCTTGCTTCCCCAAGCCTTCTGCATCAACTCCTCAACACCAATCGGGTGAATCTCAGGGAAATCATCGTTTCTCAATCCGTCCTTCGAAGCATCCATATTCACACGTACAGCCATGAGGCTGAACTCGACGATCAATGGTTGAATGAATTCCACAGGAAACTCATACGAGCCTTCTGATTGCTCAAGCACCGTCGCTTTACCCTTCTCCAAATTTTCGATGGTATCGTAGGTGACATCCCATTTTGTGCCTGCCATCCAAAAAGTCAGCTTCTTCTTCATTCGTCATGCTGCATATGCCAAAAACAACCTACCAGTAATCTTCTCCGCCATCTCAACAGCCTTCTTCCACGTCAATGAGTCAGTAGCAAGAGGACTAAGCTCAGGCCATTTCTTCTGCTCATCCAACATTGCAACAATATACTTTGCCACGTCTGTCGAATGCATGAATGAGACCGCCGAATTTCCATCACCCGGGAGTACAGCTTTCCTATTCTTGAAGTCCAAAGCGTAATTGAAAGGCTTCATATTGGACTTGACGTGCGGCATAGCAAAGTAGTCTGAGTACCATCCTAAAAAGACGCGTGTGAAGTCAATGTAGGAGCTGCGCAGTAGATCGGCTGCATCAAGCCACCATTTCGCTGAGGGATACACATCGAGAATGCCGGGTTGCGAGTAGTTGACCCCGTATTCACTGGGCATGAAGCGCTTTACGTTGCCGGCGTCGATTGCAGCGCGGATGAGGTTCATCTGCGAGTCTGCGCCTGCTTTATCGAAGAGTCGGAGGGCGGATATGACGATTTCGATATTGTATTTCTTGATAAGGTCTTTCATCGATGCGACGTCGTCGTAGTTTGTTTCTAGCACTGGCACGGATTCGAGGCCTGACAGCTTGCTTGCCTAGGCATTCCTTAGTAAAGCTCTTGGGGAGGTATAGTGGTTTGTACCCATACCTTTCGGCTCAGAATCAAAACTTCGTGTTTGCCTTGCCGAACAAGTTCTTCGACGATCGTGCGGCCAATGCCGCCTGTGCCTCCGGCAACTGCTACAGTGACCATGACTGGCTTGTATTGACGATATTTGATGAAAGGGGTAAAAATAGAAGTTACTGGGAGGTGACACAATTGCAGAAGCTACTGAGAGTTGGTAGCGTACTTTCTATCCTTCCAACGGCATCACCTTAGGCTTTGTATGGCCAGCATGTGGACGAAATCCGGTCGGAGGATTCGGGTCTACACGAGCTATACTGCATGTTCGTTACCATGTAGCTTGGCATAGCGACATAGTGATGCTCGTAGACATCGATAGAAGCTACGCGGCTGCAAATATCCGCTCGCAAACGATCTGTCCAGTGGGAAGCCGCGACTCGAGCATTAAGACCTTGGCAGGGCGCATGACGTGACTGCTACAAGACATCAATGTGAGCCTCAATATGTGAGTTGCAGCGCCATGCCGGACTCACGGACATTTAGAAAGTGCGTAAAGTGGGGAAATCAGGGCGGAGAGAAGCTCGAGAGATGGGTGGCGCATCTGCGCTAACTATATATGGGCTAGACTAAGCCTGTTTGAGCGGCCATACGCCGATGATTGCCCCGTAAACTGGAAACTTCAAGGTTAAACCCCCTTCAATTATTCAGCCGAGTACCTACATACATCTTGTTTTCGCTGACAAACGTTGTTCGTCCGGTACCATATTTTTCGTCCTGAAGCGCGATTATTTGTCCTGAAATACGCTCAATTGCGTATGTCCACAGATTCCGCTCGTAGCATCCATACACTTCCCCCACCACGAAGATTCGTCTTCTTCCAAATGTTTTTTTTCCCGCAATGCAGTCTCTCATGCTCTCAGATGAAGTCTTCCAATTAGTGCGCATTATATGCGAAGGAGAAAGAGTGCTTTGGTGTCAGGGCTCGCGACAGAACGTAGTCGACTAACACCCACCCAAAATCGTACACTCGCAACAGTGTTATGGTCTGCTGAAATGAGTGCATCTATACCTTAAGCCAGACACTGAAAGACTCTCGCTGATACATGTCAGCCATTCACTCGGGCCTTGCACCTCTAACATGTTACAACCCTCACCCCTTCAAGATACCCAAATCACATAGCCAAAAAGTTCACACCAGCCTCTTGAAGCCACACCAGCACCGAAACAAGATATCTTCTCCGGCAATAAATACTATCTAATAGCATCATCTCCTTCTAGCCCCCATTTAGTCTCCATACCTTACCCAGCACGCACACATCACTACCACAGTCAGCATGCTCCCCTTCCTCGTAGCAAGCTTCCTCAAGAACCGGATCCTGAACAAAACCTTCTTCGTCTGCATCTTCACCCTCATCTCCCTGATTATTTACCTCTTCGTGCTCCTCGGCTGCATAAGCACAGGCGCTGGCATCGAGAGTCTGTATTGGGTTATGATATCGCAGAATGGGACTGCTGGACAGCCACCCGTTGCAGTGCGGATAGGGTATTTCGGTATGTATCTGCCTTGACTACCATCCTGCGTGTTGGTATCAGTGTCGCATTTAGGTTTGAGGTTACTGATACTATAACAGGCCTCTGCGCATCCTTCCCACCGAACGACACAGTGCCCAGCGATAGCCCCACACCAGCGCCTTTGGAATGCTTCCCAGGCGACACACCACCAGGTCTTTCCAGCATACCAATGTCGCACCCTGTTCTTGCTTCGGCCCTGGCACTCCAGAAATCCTCTTTATATCCTCTTCCCGCGATCGCCTCATCACTCTTCCTTATCTCTTTGATCTACTATTCCATCTTCCGCGAACGAGGCGGCCGGAACGAGAAGGCTTCGAAGTTTCTTCTCGGGGTTAGTGCGGCGTTGGGCGTTGCGGGCGCGCTGTGTGCGATGTCTAGTGCGAAGGCGTTGCATGAGATAGGAATTTTGTTGGGACATCATGCGGTTGGTGGTGGAGAGGGCGAAGTGAACATCGAAGCTGGCAGCTGGGAGGGTGCGGGGTTGTGTATTGCGGCTGGTATTCACTTTGTTATTGTGGTATATGCAGCGTGTGGGATGCCGGGGTTTAGTCTGGTTTCGGGGATGGGATATATAGGGAAGAGGTTTTTGTAGAATGACGACAAGAAGTGATCCTATTTGTAAATGCGAACAGCTGTTCTTGTTAGCTCCGAATTGCTATATTTGAATGCGATTCGTGTTGAATGGTTATGCGAATCGCGTCAGCATTTCAATGTGTGCAACAGAATTGACCAAAGATGTCGGGTCTGAATTGAGGAATATCGAATACTGTCGAGCCCGTTCCCGAGTGTGCCCGCAACACCATGAACGCCTCGCCAAGGAAACCCTCGTGCCTGGAGATGCCGTCGCATTCGTAATAGAAAAAGCGCTTAGAACTGGTCCAGGGTCATGCTCATAGAAACGTCGGTGTTCTCGACCATCTTTGTGAACTCCTCGAAACTGATCTTGCCGTCGCGGTCCAGATCGGCCTCCATGATGGTCTTGTCGACAATCTATATGTTTGTTAGACGTCTCCGTCATATGGCGCCCTATTTGTATTGTACGCACCTGTTGCAACTGTTGGTCCTTCAGGTTACTTCCAACCATCATCTTCAGTACTATGAAGAGCTCGCCATTGCTGATGTAGCCGTCTCGGTCAATATCGTATACGCGGAATGCGAATCGCAGCTTCTCCTCCTTGTTGCCCTTGCTACTGAAAGCTGAGAGACCGGAGACGAACTCTTGAAAATCGACGTCGCCGCCACCATCTTCGTCGAAGATGGCGATCATGCGTGTTGCGAGAGGGTTCGAGGAAATTTGAGGGAGGGCTAGGAATTCGTCGCGCTCGATGGTACCAGAGTTGTCCTGGACTAAGTCAGCCAAGCATTCAGGTATTTGCATTTGGTGCTGATCGCGCACCTTGTCCAGCTTCATAAACCGTTTCCTTAGGCGGTCAACCTCCTCGCGGTCAACTACATGCTGTTAGCAAGCTATCCTCAGCCCCGCAGGCGCCCCTTCTCGTATGCCTTCTCTTTCGCCGCTTACGTACAGTTGGACCCGGAGGCTATGTTGTCGAGCAGCCCGGACTGTTGGTTACCCATTCTGGCGATTTATCTGGGGTAAGAATTGAAGGTGGAGGATATTGTCGTGTCTCGATGTCGTGGGGCTGCTGGTCGCCGCCGCTAGGGTCCAACCACGCTAAAGGCAGGCACCGCGCCCCGACGTCAACCGCCAAGACTCCACCTTCACTCCCGCGCATCTACTTTCAGCACTCTACTCGAGCTTCACGTTGCGGCGTTAATTCAGACACAATGGACTCAGATATACCCACCGAAGTTGGCTCAGTGCTACAGGGCGCATCCATCAACCGACATCCATCCGTACGCCATGACCTGAACCCATCGACTGCCGCATCCCAGAAGCAGCCCGTTACCCTCAATGAACACCCAGACCCCGATAGCTCGGAAGTTGGCGAAGATGAGATCCCAGTCAGCGTATTAGATCCGGTACCGCGACAGAAGACGATGCCCCCACTACCAGACCTTCGGTTCGAACAGAGTTACCTAAAGAGCATCGAGCAAGCAGAGGGATGGCAGGGCGTAGCATGGATCACATTACGGGACCAGGTACAAAGAGACAGGAATGGAATACATAGGGGATTATCGCTAACCAGCGGCATAGGTCTTCATGTGCTTCGCGCAAGGTGTGCTATGGACTCTCCTACTCAATGGCTGGCGACATTGGAACCGATCGGCCAAGTTCAGCGGGCATGGCGTTGGTGCGCGGATACGGAGATGGTGGTGGGGAGTCAACAACTGGACGATACCGAATGCAAAATCCAAGTTGAGGGATACCAAGTTGGCAAAGAATGTTACGGAGGTATGTGTGGCCTTTTTGAAAGTCCGGCGCCGAACACATGTTTGTCGTGTTGGAACGAATGCTAACAATCTTCTAGTATTACGAAGCAGAGTTCTCAAGTGCTGCGCAAGATTGAATGCGATGATTTGTAGCTTTCTACTCAGTCGTACCTGCGCCTAGATGTCATAGGTTTGACCAGGCCCTTTGGACGTGACGAAAACACTTCGAAGACCAAAGCAGACCATTTCATTTATTCACATTGCTGATTCTGTCCTCATAATGCATCTCAGACCCCTTAGCGTTGAATGTGGCGTCCATCGGGTACCAAATGCGGCCTGCGGCGCGGGCGCCCTTCCAATCCGCCAAATGTGACCACCTTTACTTTCACTTCAACCTTGATTCTGCTCCTCACACCTTCCCTCTAATCTACATTACTTCAAATATCGACACGCATCGTTCCGATAGTCTGGGGATCTGGCGGTCGCCCCACTCGGCTTCGTTATCCACTGTGGACAAGAACAAGAGGCATGCCAATATACTTCATTATACCCAAACAAATTCCCCGCGTCTGCGGCTTGCGGCTCGATCACGGGCTTTATAGCAGCCGCATCCGATATGCATTGACGAAGTCAAATCCAAGGGGCCAAGTTTCATCTTTACGGAAATCGACTACTGTTTCCACAAGTCTGAAGGCCAGACCGTCAGTATCTGCTCCATAATAGGCATTGTAGATCGACCAAGGAATTTCTGTTCTCATCTTAAAATAATCGCCCGGTATCGCTACAGGTTCTTGTGTTGGCCTGATCGCCCCAAGGGTAGTCTCTGCTGCCTCTCTCCGCTCCAGTACGATCCAAACGAGAACCACAAAACTTTGCAAGAAAATCACGGGCTTCGCGTATTCAAGAATTTACGCACGATGTAGTAGTTTCGCATAATCCAAGTCTGACATCAATATGTCCTACTCTCACCCTCAATGTACACCTAGTGGAGGTTTTATCACAACCTGGAAGAAAAAAAGGCGATCTCGAATACCTTCACACTCCGCGGAGCTCATTACGTTGAGACACAAGGGATTGCCGCATACAGACTAGACAAGACGTGGCACAGCACCTTCCACATGCAAGCGTACCCAACAACGACTGAGATTCCGTCTATCTCGACATACATCTCGAAACTTCCATCGCAAGCTTCTCGATATGCCACTTCTTTGTTTTCGTCAGGCACTCGTCGATTGGGTAATGCGCACGACCGGCCACCTGACTGACTACAGCCATGAAGACGAAGTTTGGAAACGCAGTTGGTGGCGTGGGACGAATAATGGCGACTCGATTCTGGTACCGTCCATCATGCAACATATAACGAATGGGCCAGGTGCGGCTTCGACATGCATCAGCTCTGAGCAAGAAATCTGTAGCGAATTTGGTAGACAAGACAACACCTACACGGGCTTTACCGCAGATCTACAAGACTACGATGGATACAAGGATTGCAGACAAGTCTATTGTCAAGGCTGCACGTCCCAGAACTGTGAAGAAGACCAATCCTGTCCTTCAACCCTCCGTTTCTGGTCGTCCACCTCAGAGGATCACGAGGAGATGTTATCCAACCCAGCGCGCGGTTCGGAAAGACAACATATCAGAGCCAACCTGGGGACAATATCTCGCAACCGCCTTGTTCTTCCTCGTATAACAACACAGCAACGTGGAATGATTTCATCCACAAGCATGTTCTGGCTGCAAAAGGCGAGAAGGAATACATCCTGTTTCGGAAGGCAATGCAATTTCGGCTACGACAACGACTAGAAGCTTGCTCTGCGACCATGGGGATCAGTCCTACGCTTCTGAACACCATGCACAAAATCATTACTATGTAGGAGTAGGTTATATTTAGATACGAGTATTTCAACTACACGTAGCTTCGGTACAGCTGTACATCGTAGTTTGTGTAATAAGAGTGGTTTGGTGTGCCGCTGGTTCGCTCCCGGTTTGCAGGCAGGTAGATTTCGGAAAAAATGTTGAATATGTACAGGCCTTGGGGAACTATTGCGGAAGCCAGATAGATTACATGTGTTCATGTGCAGACATCCTGAACAGTGTACGTGATCTTGCCAGGAATTAGAGTATCAAAGATCATGTGACAGCGCGCCGCAATTTACCCAACTTGGGAAGGCGCGTCGCGCTTGCCACCAACAACGCCATACACTTTCCTACCCTACTGCATGCCCTCGACCCCCAGCACCTGAACCCATGAAGCCTTTCCGGCCTCTTACCCTCGCTCGCCCTCGCTCCGAGACTGGCGAGCCATTGAAGAAGAAACCTAGAATCTCGTCTAACGCGCTTTCCGCTGGCAATCGCCAACCGCTTAACACGCTGAACGCCCCCGCTCCGGCCCAATTCCTGCCCCCGGGTCTCGAAGGAAACTACTATACGGTGTTATGGCGGAAATACACGACTAAGAAGAATAAGACATGGGACGGTGATGGGGTGCTTGCTGTGACAGGTGGCTATGCCACGCTCACAGATAGCGAAACAGGAAAAGAATTGGGCAAAGGAGCATGCACTCGACCGCTGCTGCCAGGCTCAGCACTATCCATCGGTGGCAAGGAGCTAGAAGTTGAAGCGTCTATTGATAAGGCGGATTACCTCGCTGGGCGCATGACCCTGGGGACGGCTGCAGCTGCGCCTGTAGATCAGTCGAAACGTGCCGAACCAGGATACAAGCCTCTCTCGTCGGCCAAGTCGAAAGCAAACAAGAGAAAAGATGTTGGTGATGATGGGGGGGATTTACCCGAATACAAACCATCAGCTCAGCGCAAGCAGCAGTTCAAGGCGCCTCTATTGTCAAATACCGTCATGCCTCAACGAAACCCATCGATCCCTCAGCCACGCCACGATCTGAACGCACCGAACGCCCTTGTCATGAAACGGCCGAACTCATGCCCGAAAGACAAGCAGATAGTCGATGTCGTCGTTGACCCGGTCCTCAGCAAGCATCTCCGCGAACATCAACGTGAGGGTGTGCAATTTCTATACGAGTGTGTAATGGGCATGCGATGCGAGGGCGAAGGCGCAATTATGGCGGACGAGATGGGTCTGGGAAAGACACTGCAAACAATCACACTGCTCTGGACACTGATGAAGCAGAACCCGATACACAGTGCCTCGCCGGTCATCAAGAAAGCCCTCATCGTATGCCCCGCCGGCCTGGTCGATAACTGGAAGCGCGAGTTTCGGAAATGGCTGGGCAACGAGAGGATTGGCGTCTATGTGCTCGACGCGAAGAACAAGAAGATTGCCAACTTCACAAAGGGCAAAGCCTACAACATCATGATCGTCGGATACGAGATGCTGCGTGTTATGCAAGAGGAACTGAAGCAAGGGACTGTCGATATTGTCATTGCAGATGAGGGCCACAGGCTGAAAACTGCTAACAACAAGGCCATGCAGGCGATCCAGTCTCTCAATACCGAGCGGCGGATCATCTTATCGGGCACGCCACTGCAGAACGACCTGGGCGAATTCTTCACTGCCATTGACTTCGTCAATCCTGGCCTACTGGGGCAACGATCAGCCTTCAAGCGTTCCTTCGAAGTGCCCATCGTGCGCAGCCGTCAGCCAGATGCAAGTGAAGCAGAGCTCGAAAAGGGCGAGGCACGATGGAAGGAGCTCGTATCCCTCACCAGTCAATTCATGATTCGCCGTACAGCAGAAGTGCTTGCAAAGTACCTCCCACCGAAGACTGAGCATATTGTCTTCTGCAGGCCGACCAAAGGACAAGCAGAGGCTTATCGCGCCATACTGGGCTCACCAACATTCAGAATAGCGTTGGGAAGTACAGACATTGCGCTACAGCTCATCAACGTGCTGAAGAAGGTCTGCAACAGCCCTTCGTTGCTCAAATCATCGAAAGATAATGACGACACGCCATCTGAGATGCTCCAATCGCTTCTGCCACTGATACCGCCCAAGATCCTCAGCTCAAGTGCTTCGAGTGCGAAGCTGCGACTGCTCGACAGCCTGGTTCATCGGATCTACACTACCACTGAAGAGAAGATCGTCATCGTTTCGAACTACACTACCACATTAGACATGATCGAGCGACTCTTGGTGTCGTTGTCATACACCTACCTCCGTCTTGATGGCAGCACACCAGCCAACAAACGCCAAGCACTCGTGGAGAAGTTCAACAAGACTCCGAAGACCGCTTCTTTCGCCTTCCTACTATCTGCGAAATCTGGAGGAGTTGGTCTTAACCTGATCGGTGCATCGCGTATTGTACTCTTTGACATCGACTGGAACCCCGCTACCGATTTACAAGCGATGGCACGTATCCACCGTGACGGTCAAAAGCTGCCATGCAAGGTATACAGATTTCTCATTCAAGGCGGCCTAGATGAGAAGATCTACCAGCGCCAAGTCATGAAAATGGGACTCGCAAACGCCGTCGTAGACAACAAAGCTTCCGCATCCTCTTTTTCACAGGAAGAACTCCGCGACCTTTTCCGTCTCGACGAGCGTGAAGGCTGTCAGACCCACGACATCCTCGGCTGCACGTGTGATTGCAAGGGCTCACCAGAAGTCAAGCTCGAAGCTGAGGAAGAAGGAGCAGAAATGCCCAACGACGACATCGAAGACTCGGACGAAGACCCCTACCCCACTCTCAAGAAAGCAAGTGAGGTCAACATCGAAGAGCAAGAAGCCAAGATTAAGGCTAGACGTGCGGCGAAGCTACCCAAATTGAGGATGTTGATGGAGTACCGACATATCGATGCTAAGATCCTCAAGGGCATGGCGAAGAAGGAGGGAGAAGAGAATGAAGATGATGGGGTTGTGGACGATATGGCGGTGGCGGTGGATGACGATGTGTTTCTTGATGTGCTGAAGGAGTCGGAGTGTAATGTCGGTTTTCTGCTTACCAAGTCGACGTCTTGAGCGGGGTTTTACGTGGTATGAAGGAGAGAGTTCAAGCATTTCAGTAGACCGTATATGCATAGCGTTGGAGTCTTGGAGCAAGTTATCGTGGCTGGGTAATCCATGGTCACTGGCTGTAGAGTTTACGTGTCGTAATGCTTAGAGGCTGCCGCTGCAATCAAAGAACGCGTTCCAATCTTTTACACAAGAAAATGCAAGGCATATAATACGTGCTTTTCTACGCTAACATTTTGAACCCAAATATGAAAGGCGAATGCAAGATTTTCTAAGCTCAGCACGAACATTGCACGGGATTGAGCTTGTGAATAACAACACGATAATATTTACTATGCAGAAAATAAAACACTGGACTACCAGCCCACAAAGGCACGGCCGCATATCTCAGCGACTCCATGGTATCTCCTCCGCCCCCTTTTCTCCATCGTAACTAATCCTCGACACAATGTCGATCTAGATACCAGCCTGCTGCGCGAAACCCAGTCTAGGACCAGAGCTACCCATCTCGTGAACAATGTACTTGCTCTTAAGGAAGATGTCACCGAAGATGCTGAAGCCAATGCCATCATCAGTCTGGATACCACCGAAGCAAGCACCAGTACCATCATCAAGAGGGGCGTAGTTGACGTATTTACCGGGGACAGTCTGCTTAACGCCACCAACGGTGATGGAGAAATCAGGGGGGGTAGCCGAGCAGGGGAAGATGTAACCGCCCTGGGTAGCATCGTTCTTGGCTCCGCTGACCTTAGCGTAGTAGGCCTTGACGATGGCGGGGTCAGTGTAGATGAGGGTTGTGCCGGTGTCGAGGATACCGGAGACGGTCTTGGTGGTGGTGGTGGTACCGACGCTGTAGGCGGAGGCGCTGAAGCCCCAGAAACCTTGGGAGTCGTCCGCGTTGATGTAGGTGATGGGGCCGGTGTACTTGCTCTTGTCAATGTAGCCGAAGTCGTAGGTGCCGGCGGCGTGGTACTTGAGTTGGACGGCGAAGAGAGGCGACGCGAGCTGCGACTTGACGGTGTCGAAGAAGGTCTTCTGTTGCTGGGGTTGCACCGTGTTGATGGTGGACATGGCCAGGCCGAGCAGACCGTCCGTGTCAGTGTCTTGCGAGAACTGCGCGGAGACGGAGGTGGCGGCCTCTACGGCTTGCGTCGTGGCTGTTACACCGCCGACGGTGACCTTGTCGGCGTAGACCTTACCGGAGGCACCAGAGCCATCGCCGTAGGAGATCTTCCAGGAGTAGCCGCTCTTTACTTTGGAGGCGTCGACTTTGTAGTAGTCGTGGCCGGCAGTCTGGGAGCTGGCTTGGAGAGACGAGAAGACCCACCTGTGGTTTATTAGATGTGGGTCTTAGATAAGGATAGGCACTTCGCCCCATCGTGACTTACAGGTCAGCGCTTCCGGTGTCGAAGTCAAGGTGAACAGTGGTGCTGCCAATGGTGACCGGGCTCAGGTATGCCGAGTCATATGCGTCATTGGGAGCGGCAGGCACTGATCCACTGGCAGCAGCAGCGGCGACAACAGTGTTGCTAGCCCTGTTCTGTGCAGCCTCAACGAGGCTTTGAGGAACAGCCTTGCCGTGCTTGCGGAGGGCCTTGATCTTCTGCTCGGGTCCGTTCTTCAGGTAGGTAGAGCGAGGAACTTGCTCGACCGAGAAAGAGTTTCCCTTGTCTGTAATCACGTGTTAGGTTGGAGCTTCTCATCGAGGCAGTGTTTGACATACGCAGAACAGGAGTGGCAGCGACAGTGCTAGCAAAAGCGAGCGCCGCCGTGAGGTGGGCGAAAGAAGGCATGATAACGATGGACTATCTGATACGGCAGAAGAGCGAGGGGTGAAAGGCCAGTGGTAGCTGAAGCCTATATGAGAGGCTTAAAGAGAAGACGAAGCCGGTACAGAAGCAATAGAGACGAGGAGATGCCTTGGCTTTATACCAAGCAATGCCAACAAAGCGCGGCATAAAGTCTTGTCCATGACGATGATGTGCTCGTTACCCTGTTCGATCTGTCTACGCCGCCCTCTATTGGCATCGTAGGCGTAGTATAGGATCATAGTGGGGTAAACGATCAACATTGAAATTAGATCCCGCAACCACTCATGGTAACGAGTCCTATCTTGGCAGGTCGATCATGCTCGCGAAGCGGTGGCGCCGCGT